ATCACAATGTCATTCCCCATAGCTCTCAGCAATCTGGTTGTGAAACTACTGTACAAAAGGGTAGAACTTGCATCGTGATGCCACAAAACCTGTTTCATCATTTTAGCACTTTCATAGCCATAAAATTGAAGAAGCCTATGAATACTATCCTGTTGATTTAAAATAAAGAATGATACTTAAAAAAGCAGAATAACAGTGTTGGACGGGACCAACCTCCTGCTCAAGCAGGAAACCCTATACCATTTCAGATGAATGGTTGTCCAATCTCTTCTTAAAAACCTCTAGTGTTGGAGCACCCACAGTTTCTGGAGGTAAGTTATTCCACTGGTTAACTGTTCTGTCAGGAAATTTCTTCTTAGTTCTAAGATGGTTCTCTCATTGATTAGTTTCCATTCATTGCTTCTTGTCCTGCCTTCAGGTGCTTTGGAGAATAGGTTGACTCCCTCTTGTTTGTGGCAGCCCCTCAAATATTGTAACACTGCTATCATGTTACCCCTAGTCCTTCTCTTCACTAGACTAGACATACGCAATTTCTGCAACCATTCTTCATGCGTTTTAGCCTTCGATCCCTTGTTGATCTTTGTTGCTCGTAGAGATGAATCATAGAGTAGCAATGTGATATAGGAAACAAATACAGTAGAGATGAATGATAAAGCTGCATATAAGGTAAACATAACTCCTGTAACACTCTCCTCTGCCCTCTTTCTAGAATCTCAACATCTCTTTTTTATCATAGCAACCGAAACTGAATGCAATATATTCCAAGTCTGGTTTTACCAAGGCATTATAAAGTGGTATTAACACTTCACATGATCTTGATTTTATTCCTCTGTTAATGCAGCCTAGGACAGTGTTGGCTTTTTTGGCAACTGCCGCACAAAGTTTACGTTGTACCCAGGAGACTGATTCAGGCTTTTTCAAGTCTTCAGTGAAGGTGAATTACAAAGCTAATATAGGACCAGCAAGGATCAGACCTGATGTTGTTGTTGTTGTTGTTGTTAATTGCGAAGTCATGTCCGACCCATCGCAACCCTATGGACAACGTTCCTCCAGGTCTTACTGATATGGTGCCTGAATTGCTGAGACACACATTAAGATGATCTTCATAAGTAGGTACCAGACAATAGTTACAGGAACAAACACCTCAAAGGACAGTATCATAATTGAGGAGGATTTTCAGAGGGTGGAAAAATGGGCAGGAATCAGCAAGATGAATTTTAACAGGGACAAAATCCTACATTTGGGCAGGAAAAAAAAAATCAAAGTCACAAGTATAGGATGGAGGTGGAAGCAATAGATATGAAAAGGATCTGCATTTCTTAGCAGATCACAAGTTGAACAGGGGGCAAAAGAGATACAGATATAGATACAGATACAATTCTAATCCAGATAGGGTAGAATTGCTCAGTATTATTTCAAAACAAGAAGAAGCAGATTTAGCTGGACATCAGAAAAAAAAAGAATCCTAATAGTAAGATTTAACTGACAATGGAATGGATTTTCTTGGGAGGTGGTGGACTCTCTTTTGCTTGAGGTGATTGAACAGAGGTGAGGCTGAATGGCATCTGTCAGGGATGTTAAAATGGATTTCTGCGCTGGGCAGGTTTTGAATTAGGTGAATTCTCTAAGATCCTTCTAACACTGGCATTCCATGACTCTATAATTCTTATTCGGTTGGAAAGAAATTAAACAGCCTATGGCTTTAACAAATTAATGCTGTGTCTCTTTTTTTACTTGGTAGATAAGATATTATTTGCTTAATAATATCAGCATGAACTTTTTTTTTTTCTTGCCCCAGAAAATGAAAATGAAACTGTGTTCTCCTGAGCAGATATTTTAGAACTATAAATCTCTTCCTCTTCTCTTAACAAACTTTTAGAAGTTTTTGCTTCTTGAACAGTGAACACAAATCACAGAGCTGAGCTGAACCATTACAGCACCGAATCAGAGGATGGAAAAGTTTCGCCCAGTGCTGGATTTCATTGTCAATCACCAGAAGGTCTTGGGCTATGGTGTGGTGTCTCTGCTGACTGCAGGCAGTGAGCGTATCTTTTCTGTGGTGGTGTTCAAATGCCCATGCAACTCCTGGAATACACTTTATGGTGGTATGTTTCTGCTGATGCCAGCCCTTATTCTGTTTCTGCTGGGCATGCTCCTGAGTGTACGTTCTTGGAAGGTGCTCACTGGATGTTGCTCCAAAGGCAGACCATGTCGATGTCCTCATGGGAATCGCCTCCAGCGCTACTTACAAGTGATGGGATTTACAATACTCAGTGCTGCTGTGGCTCCTCTCACGTGGATTTCTGTGGCCTTACTGGGAGGAAGTTTCTATGAATGTACTGCTACTGGGAGCCCCATCCTACAGAAATACCTGTGCGAAGACAAAGGGGAAGAATGCATCAAAATTCTGCTTAAAGTGCCTTGTCTCAGCCCTGTCTCTCCTTCTACCGAACTGGAGATACTCGCAACCCTTCGAGCACAATCACAGGTTAGTACAGTGGCGGCAAACCTATGGCACGGGTGCCAGAGGTGGTACTCGGAGCCCTCTCTGTGGGTACACGCAGCGTTGCCCTAGACTTGCCTCCCCCCGCAACCCCTCCTCTCCAGCAGCCCCTCTGAAGGAGAGTCACCCCTGAGCATGGCCCACATGGAGTAGCGCAGCCAAGGACATGGCAGCCAGGCAGCGTAGACAAGACTCTGCCCTCACACCCCATCATGCACAGTTAATGCTGCAGAGTGCGGGCAGAGGGCATGACCGCCATAGCACTGCTGGGCTGCCTGGGTGATCTGCGGTGGGTCCTGGAGGTGGTGAGTGGCCCTGTGGGCAGGCAGCGGGGGATGGGAGCGGGGCAGGGGGTGGAGCAGGGGCAGGGCCAGTTTTTGGGCACTCGGTTTCTAAAAGGTTCGCCATCACTGGGTTAGTATATGGCTTTTTCCAAGGTATCTAACAGTCAGGTTCCCCAACTTAGAATCCTCCAGAGGTGCTAACTGGACTATTGAAATAGCATGAGGAACCTTTTTACCTTCTCTCCATTCTTAAAGACTTTCATAGATTTGCCTCCGTGGCAGCCTGTTTCATGGGTTTTAGGTGCCAGGTTAGGAGATTTTTTATTTGTTTCGGTTCAAATGTCCATTTTGATGATATTGTCCACTTAGTCAACATAGTTAATAGTAAACTAGAGATAACATGCCCTTACCGATTGCTTCCAGCTTGGGAAACTGTTGTGTAAGGAAATAAGAAAAATTGGATCTTTTCTTGCCTGCAGACAAATTGATTGCAATTAGGAGGGAAATTCCTCCTTAGCATCAGGGGGAATTTCCTCCCATTGTGAATCACAGGAATTTTCTAGCATGCAACTATGCAGCCATCTGGATTTGAAAAGGTGATTTGGAATTCATCCAGGCACATATGTACCCCCTGTCCTTATATCAAACATCTACTTTCTTGGGGTCTTCTGGTTGCTACAGATGGTGGCTGTGTAAGCTTTGGAAATAATGCAGATGCCAATAGCTGTTCTTGAGAATTCTCTATTTCATTCTGAAATCACTTTTCCCACTTCAAATCCAGATCACCTTATACAACCTTAACAATAAGAGATAAAAAGATTTATTACATTTCCATACCTGCTCAGATCCCTTAATTATCCACCTTGTCCCTCCAGTTGTATTGAGAAATCCCATCTTTACATCTCTACTTTAAGAACCTACTAGAATTTTGCTGTAGCTATCATATCTAGGCAGTGGTGGGATTCAGCCAGTTCGCACCACTTTGGCAGAACTGGTAGCTAATTTTTTGTTGCCCAGGCCCAGAAGGGACTTCCAGAAGGGGCATCCACGCAGAGAACCGGTTGTTCACATATTTGAATCCCACCACTGTATCTAGGGTTCAAAAAATCTAGATCAGTGTTTCCCAAACTTGACAATTTTAAGGCATGTGGACTTCAACTCCCAGAATTCCACAGCCAGCGTTGCTGGCTGTGGAATTCTGGGAGTTGAAGTCCTCATGCCTTAAAATTGTCAAGTTTGGGAAACACTGATCTAGAGAAACAAGTGTTGATGTGTTGCTTCAGCCACTCCTGCATCGCACAGGAAGAGATAAATATCAGGAGGTGAGCAACAATTAAAAAGAAAGGCTTTAATCTTTTCCCCTACATGCGAAAGCTCTGAATTCTAGATTGTAAATATCCATGCAGATCAGTTACAATATACCCTCCGAATGAGAGATAGCATTTAATGCCTTGATGCAAGCATGATTATCATTTTTATGCTTCTTCCAAAGGTGTTTGGATGGATTTTGATTGCTGGTGTCTTCACCGTGGCCCTTCTTGCTACCTGCATTGCTCGCTGCCGCTCTCCAGTCAGCTTTCTTCAACTTGCCTTCTGGAAAGTCTACCTGCAAAAGGAGCAACAACTTTTTGACACCATGGCCAAAGAACATGCCTCGAAGCTAGCAGAGAGGAATCTTAAAAGCTTCTTTGATTCTACTGAGTTGGAACCACTTCAAACCCCAAGTGCCAAAGCCTGGGATAACATTTCCTCCTTGTTTGCCTTCAATCCTAAAGACTGTTACTACAGTATGATCCATAAATATGTCAGTCAGAAATCTCAAAGTGGTAGCATTAAGTCTGCAACAGGAGACATATACCCCAGTTGTTTACAGTTTGTAGATGGTGCAAATGTTGAAGCCCAAATATTGTAACAATTGTAATCTGAGAGAATGTGTCAGACAAGAGCCTCCCTAGCCTTATAAAGGTGGAAGGGGAAAACCTATTTGCCTGCTAGAGTTTAATATTGTAACCTTCTAATAAAAGTAGTACCAGCTTTTAATACAAATAGTATTAGCTTTCAAAACTTTGGTTTCCCAGTCTGGTCTGTTCTGAAGGGCTGACAAATATCAAGGCTTGTTAATAGTTACATTGTGCATTATTTCATTACTTTATTGCATGATTCTTATTGTCAGGTTTTCATTTAATAAGAAGCAAAACATTTGCTCTGCCATGAGTTTTGTCCCATGTCTTTTCTTCTCCAAATATATTTTTTATTAAGAATTTTAATTACAATAGTAAAAAATGAATACAAACTAAACTTAGAGATAGATGGTAAGAATGGTAAGAAAGAAGAAAAAAGTGCAGGAAAAGAGAAAAAGAAAGGAAAAAGAAATATATAATATTGAAAAAGAAAAGAAATATATGAAGAAGTGATTTTTAGGCTTCATTGCAAGTGTAAACAAATTTAGTAAATCTTCACTCTCCATAAGGCTGATATCTCTTCATTCCATATCCCATTCCTTATTTATAAGCAAATCTATAAATCATTAACTTACAACCCTGGTGTCACCAAAAAAACTATAAAGGACTGCCAGAACATGAGGGGGGAGGGGAGAGAAAAAGAAAGAGAGAGAGACAGAGACCTATTTTAACTTTGATCAAATAAAACAACTTTATATTCCTTCCTTTTACTTCTAACAGTAAAATTAAAAAAAAAATTCTTAATCTTTAATACAATCAAATACTGTTGTAGGATTTGATTTCTGTTCAATTCTTCTATACCCCATGGCATAAGAGTTCTTCAAGTCTCTTCAAGGCCAAGAGGGAAGGAAATTCTGGAGTGCATCAGGCAGGGATCGAGGTTGTCTTCAAAGCAAAGTTAGACCTGAGCCCTTGCCATGTTTCGGGTTTTCCAAAATCTTGCTGGTCAGGCAGAATAGGAAAAAATTGAGCTGGCATCTTAATGTGGATGTGTTGAAAATACTAGGAGTTAAGTATCTAATAAAGAAAGTAACTTTTACTTATTTTTTAATTGAATGATGTGCATAATTGTGGTTTATAGGTAATATTTTTCCCAAATTTTTATGTATATTCAGTAGGATTCTCAACATGAAATATATTACATCAAGCCAGTTAAAAGAGCAGTGTGGCAAATGAATTAAGGATTGTAATTAATACTTCTTAACAAGTAAGGCCTTTAAAATTGCTATGTAACTTATCAGTAATATTTGAATAATACCAGTAAAAGTAGGGGATAGTTAAATACAGTGGGGGGAAAGTCTCTTTACTTTTACTTTATTTTTACTTTCACATACTTTCATCATCACGCTCAAGAGAATATTAAATGAATTCTCTTAATGTGTTAATTCTCTAAGTAAAGCAAGCAGGATTGTCTCACCTTTTCTTATTAAAACAGGCCATCTAGCTCAAAGGGAATTCTTTATTTCAAATATTTTTTTTTCCTAGGAGACTTCCACTCCCAAACCATTGCATTTCTCAAGGATGTCTATTTATTAAATTTATTTAATAAATATTTAATATTCATTAAAGTAATATTTATAGCAGATTCCTAAATTTGTGGAAATGAAATAAGGAAAAAGGTGAATCCAATTTGAAGTTCTGGGTTCAGGGCACCATAAAGCTTGAGAACTTCCCCGTCTTATTAGTGTTACTGCAATTTGTTTTATTTTTTAATCTTGGTTAAAATATGGTAGCTTTTTGAAGACTTGTTCAGATGTCCTGGTTATTAATGACATTGATTTTTATAATTTCAAAAGATTAACGTCATGAATGATTGTTACAGCTGGTTGTAACTTGATTTAGCTAACATTATGGGAATTTGATGCTAATGTATATTTCCTAATTTCCCAAGTCTATAATAAAAGACCCTCAGCTAGGCTTTCAGAATCAAAACAAATACAAACACAGTTTTAGGAAAGGTCTGAATACTAACCTATAAGCTAGCATTTCTCAGTTTCAGCAACTTGAATACTTGTGGACTTCCACCCCCAGAATTCCCCAAGCCAGCTGCTGGCTAGGGATGTCTGGGAGTTGAAGTCCACAAATATTAAAGTTGCTGAGATTGAGAACTATTGCTATAAGCCACTCTGTTAAGTCAAATTAACTTAAAAAGAGAAGAGCTGCTTGACACACAGCAGGACTATTTCTTAAAAAAAATTCTATGACAGATATAATACTGTTTTTTTGACAGGATATCCTTTTCAAATTGTTCAGGGGAAAACAAGGTGTGTCTCAGAAAGCACCACTTTGAGTCTTACAAATCAGTGAATGTTATCATATTGATAGAAGAAATTCTTTGCTTCAGACAAAAGCCTAGCTGGGACTTCAGAAAATCAGGCTCCCATTTTATTCTTCCCCCATTCCTTGTTATAGGGCAGGGGTCTTCAAACTTGGCCCTTTTAAACTCCTGGCATGCCTGGCTGAGGAATTCTGGGAGTTGAAGTTTACAAGTCATAAAAGGGCCAAGTTTGAAGACCCTTGTTATAGGGGTATAGGTTAATTGAAAGGTTATTCTGCCTGCTTTTTACTATAATAGAATCAAAATAACCCAAATCATCAAGTGAAGGGATAATTTTGATAGTTGCATTTTGTAAATCTCCTTATACTACTGCTTTTGAAATAAGGCAACAAGGAGAGTACTAGCCTAACTAAAATAGCCTCTCAGCCCCCCCTTTCTTTTCCCCCTTTCCCCTTTTCCAGTCTAAAATCCATTTTTTCCTCAAATTCTGCACTGGTTATCAATTTGTGCATATTTCAGTTATCAGTTTTTTTCTTAATAAACTTTTGGTTCGAGAGGCATTTTGGTATGACAATTTGGACACTTAAATATACCTTTCAATAAACTATGCATTTAGAACTCAGAAGATAAATATTAACGTGTATAAGAAGCTGCAAATTGGAGTGGTTTGCACTAAAATGCAGATTAAATGCCTTTTACCCCAACTCCAGTTTTATCTGAAGAATATCCCAAGAATATAGAAATCATAGATGCAAGAACTGAATTTTTCTTAAGCATATTTTAGGATTCAAGCTAAAAGTGATAACTAGAAAAAAGGTCCACTCTTCTTGGATTCATAGGAGGTGGACCAGTAACAGAACTTCTCAGGAATAGTCCCCATTTTGTGCAATATTTTACCCCTGGAAATATGTGTAGATCCAACTATATTCTAGCAATTCTTTTGTCCTTAATGCTATTTGAGTGACTGTAATCACTTGAGTATCATAATTATGTTAATCGTTTTATTTATTTTATTGTTCTTTTACATTTGTAAACTGCTCAGAGTCCATTTGGATTAAAAGGGGTTTATATTTTTTGTTAAATAAATGGATAAAGAGGGCAACTATATACTTCCGTCCTTCCATATATTACAAATCAGGATTCTTGGAAAGTGAAATTTCCCATGTTTTTTTTTTTTGTATAATACCCCAGGAATTAGTTTTCAAAAACCTAGAATTTTTGCTCAGGAAGTCTTTGGGAGGATTATTTCTCAGAAGCATGTTTAGCATGTTTCTGCTAAAGTTTCATAATAAAAGCTAAAGTCATTTCTTAGCTAAGTCTTGATCCTCCTTTTGCTCATTGAATGTTATGTCAGAAGACATTAGCAAACCTCTATCTTAAATGAAGGCAATTATTTAACAATACTTTAGCTTTGACAGAATAACAATCTCCAAACAGAAAAATATATTTTACATTCTCATATAATTTCTTAAGTTCATGCACAATTTGGTTTAGATAATGTATTTACATATCTCATTTACCCTTTCCATTTCTTTAAAATTATACACATCTTAAAATCCAAAGCATAAAATAAAATGTAAAAATCGGCAAGTCCTTTTATGAAGAGAGATAGTCCAAGCAGAAGCCAGTTCCCTCAGAAGCCTGACCAAAGATGTGGGCACCATTTTGATGGTAACCCAAGAAATGCAAGCATCAAATTGAGGATGCAGTCTTTGGATGGTGTCAGGGAAGCAGTCAGGGGTCCTAGGAAGGGAAAGTATTAGGGGGCCTGTTAAGTATTTATTACATTTTGCTTCTAAAGCATCTTGAACTTTTTTTAGGGCTGCATTATCTTCTTTACACTGCCTACCTTATGACATTAATTTGGGGAAAGTATGATTGCAGGGAGCTCTAACGGACATGGAAAAGTTTGATGGTTGTATTTAGCCCTGTTTACTACATTTCATGGACTTCCCTTGTCTGGCCTGAGAAAGTTCCCTCAGGCAATTCCTCAGGAGAATTATCACTCCTAAGAAAACCTTGTTCCTCACAGCCTTGCACTGAAATTTACCTCACTGAAATAGACGTAGCACAGCTCCAATATGAAACAACATGCAAGGATATTTTTCAGGGAGCAGAGATTCTACAAATATTCACCATCCAATTCCTGGTAATAAATACATTTTGGAGTACTGCACATTCCCTTGGGGGGGGGGGGATTGTATGCTAATTTCTTGTTCCTCCAATAAGCTTCTGGGCATGCATGGCCTGGATTAGAAATATTGTTTGTTTTTAGTCATGTTCTGGGTGGATGCTTCTTCCTGAATTGGAAGGTTCCTCTTTGTAGGCAGCTGCAAAGACTTGGCTGACCCTAAGTACATAACTACTTCAGATAACAGTATCATTTATTTCTCTTGTATTTCTTGATTTCAGCCTTCTTCAAGAATGTGATTCGGATTTCTGTCACATCGTCTCCTTTCAGAGTGTCTTGAAGAAAAATCACTTCAGCTGCTAGGTGTATCTGAAAATAAAAAGTTAATAGATGTAACAGGAACTTAGATTTAGAATGGTAGGAAATCCATACAATAATGGGGTATTTTATTTATTTGTTAAATATATATTCTGAGATTCCACCAAATAAGGTTTAGAAAAATAATAAGGCTTTTACCTGGTGCTGAAAACATGGATGCAGGCCAAAATGTGATATATGTATACTGCTAAATACCCATATAATATTGTGCTTATTGCTTTTACCTTCACCTTCCCATTTTTTAGGGCACCATTTCTATATCACCTATATGAGATCCAGTTGCAAATCTAAGTGCTTTTAAGTATACAGGTCAATGATACCATGAGAGTCATTCATTCATCATATTTATATAGCCACACAACTCACAATTAAGTGACTATAGTGGCTGGGGCTTGTTTGTTTTGTGCCTTTAGGTCCCTGCAGTTTTCTTGGCAAGATTTCAGAAGAAGTTTGTTACTGCCTTCTTTCTAGGACCGAAAGGGTAACTGGATGCATCCAGCTGAGACTAAAACTTAAGGTCTCCCTGTTCTAACCCCTAACACCAAACTGACTCTCAAAAGATAAAACACCAGACACAAATCCCCCACACAGAAAACATTTGTGCAGAAGGTCTTTGAAAAGCACCATATAAGCCTAGAAAGACAATCAACCTTATCTAGTCTGTTTCCTCAATGTCAAATTTACAAAAGGCTAATAGCATCGGTAGGAAAATTTGATTGGATTTGCACATGACACTAAGCTTTTAATGTATTTTATTTGTTTTGAGTTTAACATTTTCAGTGAACCCTGACAGTTTTGGTTTATCTAATAAATCATGGGTAACAACTCATGGCTAGAGGCATTTATGTACCATAGTGGTTAAGGCATAAGGTTAGAAGCTGGAAGACTCTGAACCTTAGAAACAAAGTCAGCTGAGTGACTTTGGGACCCTCACTCTCAGCTCTAGGAAGAAAGCAATCACAACCACTTCTGAAGATCTTGCCAAGAAAATTGTAAGGACTAATCCAGGCAGTCACCAGGAATCAACACTGACTTGAAGGCACACACAAACACACAAAATTGTGTGTGTTATCTGGCTAGGTTTGTACTATATCTGGCTAGGGTTATCTGGCTAGGTTTGTACTATATATTAAACAATAAGCCATGGTTACAAACCATAATAGATGAATTTACAGTATACAATAGGATGATCCAAAATTATGGGTCAGGCTGATCACTTACCCCCCAGGGGAAATGGGGGAGAAGCTGACAACAAAGGCCTTGCAAATGTCACAATGCACATTCCATCTTTTATATAGCTGTTTACAATGCAAGTACCAAATGCTGGAAGTTGTCTCATGATGTCAGGCATGTATATTGTCACTAGGGCAGCATCATGGTTAGGAACAAACAAGTAGGAGTCTGTTCTGTGAATGGGGGGGGGGCAGCATAGAAAGAGCCAGTATTCATTTTCTCACCATTTCCAGAGCCCCTCTGATGGTCCCAGACAGCAGGCTGCAGTAACAAAGAGATGATCGACTTGCCGGTAGCTCCTCCACAAAGTCCACTAAAGGATTCTTGGCCAGAATGAGAGAAAACTCATTTCCCATTGCATTGTTGCAAGTTACAGTAGGGGTGACACCCAGATACATCTTAAAAGCAACCTGACAATGGAATGGAAAATATGCCAAGTCATCATTGGGTGAAACCATAAATTATCTTAGATAGTTTTGGGACATTTGTTCTATTTGTTATAGGTATGAACCATGATTTTCAATCAATCAGAACAGAGCAGGAAAGGAACTTGGAGATCTTCTAGGCCAGCTGCCCCCAATCTTTTGGGCACCAGGGAGTGGTTCCATGAAGAAAGTTTTTTCCACGGACCAGAGGGGGCATGGTTTTGCATGCTGCCTGCATCCTGCAGATGGGGCTATGCTTGTTTGTGCAGCCCGGTTGCTGACATGCTATGGACCGGTGCTGGTCCAGGGACCGGGGGTTGGGGACCCCTGTTCTAGGCCAACCCCCTGCTCAAGCAGGAGATCCTATACCATTTCAGACAAGTGACTGATACTCAGACAATCTCTTCTTTAAAACCTCTGGTGATGAAGCACCTACCGCTTCTGATGGCAAGCTGTTCCATTGGTTAATTGTTTTCAGTGTTAGGATGTTTCTCCTTAATTTCAGGTTGCTTCTCTCCTTATTAGTTTCCATCTATTGTTTCTTGTCCTGCCCTCTGGTGCTTTGAAAAATAAGTGCACCCTCTCCTCTTTGTGGCAGCCTCTCAAATACTGGGATTGGGGATTTTCATTAAGAGAACAACTGAATGCCAAGAGGGTTAATGTTTACAGCCTCCTCAGCATGACGTTGACAACACTTATTTCTTTATTTGCAATAATTTTAGGGAGAGGGGATGGGGAGTGATAATTCACACTGAGGCCAGTGGGGGCTCTTCTCCTCTGAAGCTCACTCTAGAGCAGCATGTGTATGTGATCATCAGGATTTCAGCTGAAAAGAAACTAATTCACAATCTGAATGAAAACAACTCCCCTGGTTACTGCATTAAAAAGAAAAAGAAAAAAGAAATCCAGGCACATTTATTGTCTATGTCTGTTTAGAGTCATGCCTCTTTCTGGAGTTCTGCACAAAATAGAAAAATATGTTTTGTTTTAGTTCTCAAACCCCAACATCCCATCTGGAGTGTTCTGTGGAAACATTTTGAGTTTGTTGCACTTTGACAAGGCAAAATATAAACCAGTTTAAGCATTCCATATTCCAGTGAAGCAAATACTGGAACACTTCAAATGTCTGAATCAAAAGAAACAATGGGAATAGAGAAAAAGATTTTTACTCCTTTCTTTTCACCACAACATCACAAGAACAGAGAGGGTAGCAGTTCATGCTGAGTGCTACTATTGAACCAGTTTGCAGAAAAATTGGCAGGAAGAAAAGGGGGGGGGGAATGATGGCTCTTATCATAGAGGCATTGGTTTGTGATCCTTCTTATCCTGCTTCTTTGGCTTCAGAGAATTCTTCTTTTAACCTGGGCTCTGCCAATTGTAAAATTGTTAGGAGATACTAGTAGGTTGGCTGTCTTTAAAAAAAAAAAAAAAACTCATAGAGACCTTAAATTTTATTAGATGGTCTCACAGTATCAATTTCTAAAACAATTATCTTTCTTAGGACAGGAGAAGATTGTCTAAGAAAATAAATTCTTGTCAGTCCATTAGCGCAGTGTTTCCCAAACTTGACAATTTTAAGGCATGTGGACTTCAACTCCCAGAATTCCACAGCCAGCAATGCTGGCTGTGGAATTCTGGGAGTTGAAGTCCACATGCCTTAAAATTGTCAAGTTTGGGAAACACTGCATTAGCGCAAGGGGAGTTTCTTTCAAATTAGATTCTATATCTAACCTTTGGTCGGTACTGAAGGACGAATTTCTAACAATTCTTGTGTTCTTTAGTGTAGTGTTATCTACACCACCTTTCCCCCCCACAAAAGATTCAAGGACATTAATCTCCACTTATCCGAATATAGGTAGTCCTCGACTTACAACCGTTCCTTTAGTGACCATTCAAAGTTACAATGGCACTGAAAAAAGTGACTGATGACCATCCTTCACATTTGGGGTGGTTGCAGCATCCCCATGATCATGTGATTTACATTCGGGTGCTTGACAACTGGTTCATACTTATGACGGTTGCAGTGTCCCAGAGTCATGTGATCCCCTTTTGCAATCTTTTGCCCCATTAACAAGCAAAGTCAATGGGGAATCTAGATTCACTTAACAACCGTGTTACTAACTCAACAACTTCAGTGACTCTCTTAACAAATGTGGCAGAAAAAGTTGTAAAATGGGGCAAAACTCAATGAACAGATTTCTCACTTAGCAACATAAATTTTAGGTTCAGCTATGGTCGTAAATTGAGGACTACCTGTATTCAATTTGAGGTCAACTTCTGCTGTTAGCATATTGGGGATTGTTGAACTTCTCTTCTACACCGGAAATCTCTGCTGAACCTTTGGTTAAAGAGGGAGTGAATTTTATAATATTGGATATATGCCGAAGTTGTCTCTACGATGGTTAGATCAGTTCTTAGTTCCTTAACATCATCTAGACCAGTGTTTCTCAACCTTGACCATTTTAAGGCATGTGGATTTCAACTCCCAGAATTCCACAGCCACCATTGCTGATCTAGACCTCAGTCAGGAAATTTATGTTCAACACCTAAAAAGCCAGTTGTTGAGAGGCATCACTTTAATTAAGTCCTTGATTGTGTCTGGACTTGAGTTACAAATCCTTTCCAGTTATGTTAATGCATTCATTCAGTATTCCTGCTACCTCCTTAATTGAAATCACAGTATGGTATACATAGCTGCACTTGTGTAATAATCTATTTCCTTTTAAGGTCTGAGAAGTGACTTATCTTCTTTATTAATGTTACTTTCCCATGAGTCCCACAGTCCCACAGAAGGTAGTGGAGCTGACTGTTGTTATTCGTCAGCTCTGTGACATGGCTTAGTTATCTTCACATATAGGTTTGTGTGGTTTGGACTTCGATGGAATATAATTAAACCATCCTGGATCAATAAACACGGCCACAGATTTCTAAACACAGCAACACAGTATTTGCAGACTAGCTAGATCAGGTTCATTCTGTACAGTGTCGGAGGATTTAGTTGACGTTTAAAACGCAGTAGGATCCTATCCTGTTAAAAGGCACCAGAAAACCATTCTACTGATTTGAAGTCATGGGAGGTGGTATTAGACAATCTAAAACAATTTTCAGGGAATGAATTATGCATGAGCTTCTTGGGTTGATAGACTTTATGTCTGTGTTGTTGAATAATTTCTAGATTTGGAGTGAGGCTTTTATACTCTTTGAAGACTTCTTGCTGTCTGCCAAGTTTCTTCAAAATATATAGGCTCCTCTAGAAATAGAAAACATAGTATGTTGTTTTCATTAATGCCTCAGTGATGGCCACTTTGATGTTCTATCCCAGAAGACAAACTACTTGCTGCTTCTTCATCTTCTCTTTTGTTTTATTGGAATTGGAATGTAGTGGCTTCTTCTGGTATACCATTTTGACCACTGTCAAGTTTTCAACATCCACTGAACTCAAATCAGCACAACAAGGAAAATTACAATGGTTAAACTCCAGCATGACTTGGACCATAAGCAAAACCCCAAATAAATCAAAATAAACAACTAAGCTTTGTTTAATGCTGGAAAGAACAGAGCTTAGAAGAATCATAACAAAGATATTTTCTCATCATTAGAATTTCTTCCCATGCTCAACAAAATCTTTTCTTAAAAGGTCTGTGCTAAAAACACAATGAATTAAAACAATACATTTGCAGCAAAATATATCATTTACTGCATCAACAAGTGTATATACAGAATGCAGACACACCTAAGTTAAGAAAGCCAATTAGAATGTGGTCATTTGCATCAAGGTGTCCACAAAAACAAAACAAAACAAAAAAAACCATAAGAGAATACAGACTCCAAAATATCCAGTGTACAACAAAAACCAAGATATCAACATAGAAAACGTTGAGGAAAGCTTAGTTATGTTTATGTACTCTGTGTATGTTGCTCATACATACCAACAAAGCTCAACAGGCTACTCAGACTAATCAGGAATCAAAAAAAGGCAAGTCTTTCTATGTCAATGCATGTACTTTTTTGACCCCTTCTCATGAAAAGTGCTGTATACGATTGTATATTTTGCTTTTATATTCCATCTATGATTCTTTTGAAGACCGCACAGGCTTAAACTCACTCACACAACATTCACTTTGCCCAAAGTAATCTCTACCGAAAAAACAACATAGAAGTAACTTTTGTAAAGGAATGATTTGCCGAAATAAATAAAATAAAGAAATGGCATAGTGAGTGGAGGATTGGTCAGATACCTCCCATTACAGGTAGTCCTTGATTTACGACCACAATTGAGCCCAAAATTTATGTTGTAAGTGAAACATTTGTTAAATGAGTTTTGCCCCATTTTATGACCTTTCTTGCTACAGTTGTTAAGTGAATCACTGTAGTTGCTAAATTAGTAACATGGTTGTTAAGTGAATCTGGCTTCCCCATTGACTTTGCATGTCAGAAGGCTGCAAAAGCTGATCACATGACCCCCAGGAGACACTGCAGCCATCATAAATATGAACCACTTTGCAAAGCATCTGAATTTTGACCATGTGACCATGGGACACTGCAATGGTTGTTAAGTGTGTGTTATGCCCCCATTGAAGCCTGAATCTGCAGAGGAAGATGAGCCGGAACTGGAGCCAACAGAGATTGAGGTAGAGGAGTCACTGGCTTCAGAGGAATATGGGGAGGAGCAGGCCGAGGCAGGTCTTTCAGGATTAGGACGGCTTGAAGGCAGGGAGGAACAGGGGCAGGATGAACGTGAGAGACAGAGCTCAGGAGATGAGCAGGCATGTCAAACTCGCGTCATGTCAATGACGTCGCACAATCTATTTTGACTTTTCCTCCATTGCTGGCAATAGGGTGGGCACAGTTTCAGCGTGATGCATCCGGCCCATGGGCCGGCAGTTTGATATGCCTGTCCTAGAGCATGGAGAGTGGAGAGAAGGAGGAAACAATGCAGGCAGGCCCCACTACTTGAGAGAAGAGCGCCCCGCCCCTCTCCACAAGGCACACCTGGGGACTGAGACTTATGGAGATGCTGTGGGGAGGAGCATTTGTCAGGAACAAATGCTGAATTATTGGAGGTTTGTGTTCCGTTGTCAACATTGGAAACAACTCTCTGATCTCCTGTTCTGTGTTGAGATTTGTACTTGTAAGCCCTGAAATTCTGACTATTGGACTGGCTGACAAACTTGATTTGGTGCTCCAAACCTCAGATTGAATTTTGGCTTTTCTTTTGAAACTATTCAGGCAAGCTTGTATTTCCACAGACTCCTTAGATTTTGATGTATGTTCCTGAAGGCAAGTGGTGCAATCACAAGGCTAAGATAGCCCTTCCCAATTAAATCTCTTTCAGATGCCCTGGATTATAATTTCCAAATTTCCCACCAACAGTTCTATTAGCTGGGAATCACACAAATTGGAGTCTAACACATGTAAGAAAGGGAACATAAGAGAGATCCCTGGAGCTGAGAAAAAAAATAGGGATATCTAAAAATATCACTAATGATGAAGAGATGGATATTATAATGTCAATCTTATTTGGGAAAAGGGTGGATAGCCCTTTGGTCTTCTATTCCGGAAAAAGAGGTGCAAACAGCTTTCAGAAACCCTTAATTAATTCATTCACTAATAAATGAGTACTAAAGTTTGGGTTTATTCAGTTTCCCTGATTCTCTATAGTAACCCTTCACAATAAACCTAACCTTGTGAAACTTTCTTCCTGGATTATAGTCTGCTGTTAGGGTCCAGACTGAAAATAAAATGATAAGAGTGGACTCAGCCTTGCAAAATGAAGGCAAATCATCTTTGCATACCTGGGCAATTATGTCTGTAGTTTCAGAATAACTGCGGCACTTTTTCACAGCAGAGCGAGCCAAGAAATCTTCAACCAATCTGATGCCGATGTTATATCCCCTGACAGAGCAGAAAAGAGAGAGAAAAAAGGTGAAGAGGTGTCAGGTGGACTTCCTGACAGTTGATATGAATATAAATTGGCACATGGCACACATTGTTCCAAGCATAAAGGCAGGATAAAGCTCATAGATAAGATGCCGTGTAGAGATAAGATGCCATGGCAAATTTTTTACTAGTGGATTTTGTTAACAGAGCATATTGAAACATTGTCTTTTTTATTGTTGTTGTTCTTCCTGTTAACTATTTTGTCCTTAATATAGTATATAGATGATAGGTCAATAATTTGCAAATAGATTTACTAGTTTAAACATTTGGGAGGATGTTTCACAAGGGATGGGGACCAATATTGTAGTAATGTATTAATCAGTATTCAGTTAGGGGGATAACATGGGTGTATGTGTTCAATTTTCTTTCCTTTTAATGCACTTTATTAATGCCTTGTTTTATGGGGTTTTTTTTGTCTGTTTCTGGATTTTTTGTATTTTAAAGTTCTTTTGAATAAAATAAAAAAATAGTAGAAAAAAACAGGATAAAATTCATAATGTAAATAAAATAATGGTTGCAATATTCTGGAGAAGAGGTCTGTTGTCTAAGCAATGAAAGAGTATGACTCCAATTTGAAGAAAACAATATTTTCTGGAAGTTGAGGCATTTACTGTTCTTTAAATGGAAGAAGAAAGATAAAAAAAAAATTAATTTTCTTTACTCTACCCACGACAACCATGGCTAAAAGTACTGGAAGAAACATCAGGTAAAGGAATTCAGCCAAAGCGGCTTCATTATTTCCTTTCCTTTCCTTTCCTTTCCTTTCCTTTCCTTTCTTTTCTTTTCTTTTTGCAAAACAAGTCCCTTTCTATAACTTTCCCCCACAACATCATGGAGGCAGAGAAAAAACATTAGCATATTAAATGTTTACTTTTTGGCATGAAGTGCAGAGAAATTTTCATTCGTCAGGACCTTCACTAGTTCAGGGGGCACAGCCTGAAGATTTTTGCACACTTCTATTGGCCAGCTGAAAGCAGCACTGATTTGGCTTTTACTGATTACTGATCTTCACAGCATTGCAATCTCAGTAACCATAGAGAAGATTGGATGGGCCGCTTCAAAACAGGTTGGAGAGTAGAAACAGAATCCCACAACTGTTTCCCAAGCTGATATCTACATCCACATAAACAGACTGGAGAACAGAGAAAAAATAACTAGTTGATTTTTCTCAAATTTATAAGTCAATGTCATGCTGCTTCTTGCCACCTTATACTTACATGCTATCCAAATATTTGTTCACATCTTCATCCTTTTCATAATCCTTACACAGCTGGGCTACCAAAGCACCATAGGTGAGCACAAAAAGCTCTCTACTCTGTCAATCACAGGAAATACCAAATGAGAATTGAAGAAAAACATACAATCTTCTACTCCAAGAGCTCTAGGCTATATAAGTATCTTTGAAAAAACAGAGAACCCAGACAGAAGGTAGGTTCGCATATAATACAGATCCAAAAAGTGCTTTTGCTTTGTGAAATTGAATGACCCCCATGATTGTGGCTTGTTAGTCAGAGTTTATTATTATTCAGTCTGAATGTGACTCCAGCCACAGGGACCTGCTTTAGTGCAATATGTTAATCCAGGCAGTGTCCATTGCCCAACTGCACTTGTGCTGGAAAAAATAATACAACCATATCTGCCAGTATGAATTCCCCAAATATCCCAAAAAATAGGATAGACGCATTAGTCAGTCTGCATACCATGTGATGAGCTGACGCAGAGGATGAAATGGTGGGCAAATGCCAGTCCTATAACATAAAAAGAAGTAAAAGAAGAGGGAGCACAAAATATATTGATTTTTTTAAAAAAAAATTCTTTTACTTTTTAAAAAGCAATTTATGAATTGAAAAAGCAACTCACTAATCAAAAGAAAAAAAATAGCAATAAACCACTTAGTGAGAAATAATACCAATAAGAAGCAAAGAGAATTTAGCTCTTAACTGGAGTTAGGAACTAGGTTTGCACCAGAATCAATCATATTAAGTTAAGGCACCAGGCCCGAAACCAGGTGACAGTGAGTTCTAGTCCCGCCTTAGGCTTGAAAGCTGGCCTGGTAACTAGGGCCAGTCACTCTCTGTCAGTCCAGCTCATCTCACAGGCTTGTTGTTACGAAGAAAATAGGAGAATGGAGTGTTAGCTATATCAATCGCTTTGAGTTATTTATTAAAATAATAAAGGTCGGATGTGTAAATTAAAACCTAAAATATTTCTGTACACAATATTGTTACTACTCAGATGCATATTTTCTTTTGGGCAATATAATATATAAGGAGTGCTGTGTTTCTCAATCTCAGCAACTTTAAGATGGATGGATTTTAAGACGAAGAATTCCACTGAGACTGAGAAATAGTGCTATGGTATGAGTTTGCATGGGGGATATTTGCTTCTATTTGAGAGAAAAAAATGACCCAAAATTTTAAAATACTGCTGCTCCTGGTGCTGTCACCTCGTGGCCTAGAAGAAACAAATATGAAGACTTGTCCAGAATATCAGGACCTGAAATTATTTGAGAGGTCAAATGACAGCATCTTCAATAAAATTTCTGCTTAGACAAATATAAATGCAGAACATGTGAAATGTTTTTTGGGGGGGTTGCCTCACTGAAAATTGCCTCAGCTGAAAACCAGCTCCTCCCAAAACATCTTATCATCTTAAAGACAATTCAGTATCAAACTAATTAAAAAAACTAGCAAAGTTTAAACATAGAAACAGGTACTAGTCAGAAAAGTCAAAACAAAATGTAAACTAATAACATATTTTTCGTTCCCTGATTCTACTTGCCCTGGGCATGGCTGAGAGATTAAATCTTACTGTTTGCATAGTTAAATATATTTTAATGAAATCACATAATTTGCCATTCATTCAACAAAATATATTGTACTTCACATCCTTGCATAACCAAAAGGGAAATTTCCTGGGGATTCTTGGAAAAAGGAAGGAAGGAAGGAAGGAAGGAAGGAAGGAAGGAAGGGCTGATATAGGAAGAGAAAGAAAGAAATTATTTCAGGCATCTATTGTCTCAGACTTTTCTAAAAGAGTAGCATTCTAGTCATGAATGCCAGTTATTGTTATTATTATTTAGCATATGATGAGAACATGACGGAAGAGAAGTAAACAAATGCACACAGCCCACATAATTTTATACAAAACTTCTACAGGGTATGGCAGTGGCCTCATAATTGATGAATACCAGTGGTTTTGTAGGTCTTCTATAGATTCAATTTTGTGGAAAATCATCCTAGCCATAACCACAAGCACTGGAACTGGAAGTATGGTCAAAAAGAGTTCTTTTTTTCCTATTCACCCCATTTAAAATGTAAACAGTGAAGACTTCGCTAATATACTGAATTCACAAAATGCATTCAGTAGGAATAGTGAAGAATACCACCTTAAAATAACAAGCATACTAAAGTTTGGTATACAAGCAAGTCTTACGATTTTGGCGTTCTCTGGTCTTCTATTTGCTGGATGTGCCATTCTTCTTGGACAGTAGGAAGATACATTCAGTACTGTATTATATTCCTTTTGACTTAGATAGCATTTTTCTCTGCTGCTTTGGTTGCTTGCTACTCCATTTCTTCCTCAACCCTGGTCCTATTGCCCTTGCTACACTCTGGTTGTAGTGAACTCTGATGCTATGGATCCTGCTTTTTCTGATGCTCCTCCTCTTCTCGGTAAGCCTGAAGTCTTCCAACAGAAATGTGTTTGGCAAGAAATCCAGCTTACTTCAGTAAACAATCTGACTCAGATCGTTAACTGATCCATTAAACAAAACAGCCTGCAAATTATATGTAAAATAGCTATCTCTCTGCTTGAAGCTTGCCACTGAGGGGGATACTTTCAGAGAGGCTTTTAACAAGGCTCTGCCTTGTTCGTAACATTTTATGGCAGGAGCAAAGGACAACATTATCTATTCTCCATCTTTCCTCTCCATTTTCCTAGGTGCTTTTAGGGCAAGCTTTTATGGCACATTTGCCCTAATTTAGTACACAATGAGGATGTTAGATGAAAGCACCTTCCATTTGTAAAACCTTGCTTCTTATTGCATCACTTTTTCCATAATCTTTCTTTCCAAAGACTACGTGTCCATCAGAGACAAAAAGGCTCAGTAGAGCTTTAGACCACAAAAGCAAACGCTCGTCCCTTTCTATTTCCACTAGACAATTCATGACCCCTGGGTTACTTCAGAGATATTTCCTTACCAGATTCCTCAATGCCTTTGACAATGGCAGAGCTTTTAACACACTTGAAAAGTTCTTAAAAATGCAGGGAGATATTCAGAGATATATGCGCCTTGAAAGTAGCCCATGTTGAATTGTATAGCACAGGGCTTTTCAACCAGTGGTATGGGTACCATCTGTGGTACATTGGCACCTGACAGGTGGTACACGACCATCCTAAAAAAGTGGTAGTGGGGAATGGGAATGAGCTGAACCGGTGGCAGCACCACACAAGGCTGAGCGAGAGATGGCTGGATCTGCAGGGCTCAGCGGAAGCGCCAGGATCAGTGCCGCTTTCCAGCTGATCGGCGCTTCTTCGGGACTGTCAGGTCTCAGTGGAAGTGCCAGGATCAGTGCCAGGCTCCAGCTGGAGCTCGGCACTGATCTTGGTGCTTCTGCTGAGCCCAGAAGAAGCGCCGATCAGCTGGAATGTTGCAGCATCTCCAGAGTCTTGTGATTTACATTCAGATGCTTGGCAACTGATTCATATTTATGACGGTCACAGTGTCCCAGGGTCATGTGAAGTGACCAAAACCTGCTGCAACCACCCAGCAGACGGGTGTAACTCAACCCTGAGCTAGAGACACTCTTGTCTAATAACAATAATGTAAAAGTGGGGCAAAGAATCAAAGTAGGGCCCCAAAGCTACCATATTGCTTGTTCTTGTTCATTGAACTAGGCTGGGCATCAAAATGTATGGCAAACCAACTGGAGTTTCAGCAAAGGTCTACAAAATAAAGATAGTAGGCACAATTGCATAACTGAAGCCACACTGTGTCCTTGGAGAAGAATTTAGAGAGGGAGTAAAGCTTCATGAAGTTGTTGTCACCTATTTAGGTTTTATCTGGCAGATGCCCCTTTTTCTTTCTGATCAAGATCTCAGCAGAACAGGGAAAGGAGGTTCAACATTCCCTTCCTAGCCACAATCCTGCAAATAATTGCCCTGTTTTACCTAAGGCCAATGGCTACAAAGGCAGGATTTTTGTAAAGCTTTCATTAAAAACACCCTTTTATTCTAGGACTCCCTACCTCCATCCTTTAAAAAAATGATAGTTGTCCACTTTATAATGAATGTTTCATGAAGACATATCCAATTTTTACACAATGGACGTTTGCTGATTTTTAGAAGTATACTGAATCTGCTTTAAAAGGGATAGTACAATGTTAGAAAACAAATGGACCACATGGAGACTACCCTCCTATCAGCTGAATCATACCTTTTAATGTTATCCAATATTGCCATCTGGCTGCTTTGAAGTACCGCTGTGATTTATTCCTCTTCAATCTGAAAAAGATCTGAAAGACAGGGAATTGGATATATGTCACGTAGAGTTTAAAATGGATTGTGCCTGATTGTAGAATCTTCTGAATATTTTCATTACTGAGGGAATAAGGCAGTGTGCCTATGGGGAAAGTTAAATCTGTCATTTAAATCTCATTGATTTCAACAAAATTAAGACATGACTTAGTTCAGATCTAGTACATTATCTGCCACTAAGTAATATGCCATGATGTTCCCAAGTGCCTGCAGATTTTCTCAGATATTTTATCTTCCACCTAGCTGAAACACATTAGAGTTGGGAGGAGAGAATATATTGGTGATTAGAGGAAGATCTATATCATTACTATTTCTTGTTTAGTTTTATTGAGGTTATTATGTTCCTTGTATTGATTTTTTATTTGTATACCATCTCGATCTTCTGGAGTGATGCAGTTTATAAATCTTACCAATAAATAATGTGCATTAAATAGCTTTCCCTTCTTTTTGTTACAGCTAATTGTGACAATTTCAGTGAATAGTAGCTATAAGCCCAGATAGAATTAAAATGCTGAAATTCATGGATCACTGTATTTTTAGGCGAAATTGCAAATCAATGCTTCCATAAGCATAAACTAAAACTATTACTCTGGCTTTGGAGCTAGCCCAAATTGTGATCAGATGCATAAATCAGTTCTTCCAAGTGGAATCCTGTAAACATAACAGCATTACCTATGCATCACAGGAGAAATATCAGCAGATTCAGGGAAGTTTGCAAAAGTACAATTAATAGTATCAAAATGCTTAGAAACAAAATGCAAGAGAAAAAGACACAAAATAAGCCCAGATAGAATTAAAATGCTGAATTGCATGCAGTGTTGTAATTATTCTGGAAACTGTTGAACTAATTGTATAAGCTAATGTGCATCAGAAAGAAAGATACATTTTCTTAGTTCATTTTGATTGTATTTATTAAAATTGACCAGCGAATTCCTTGTGGCAATATAATAGGCAATTAACCTGCATTGTTTGTTAAAAAAACTAAGGTACACTTAAGTGAGATTCAGGCAATGTTATTTTACTTTAAAAAAAAAATTATTTAAAGACAGTAACATCATGCTTACCATTAAATCAAAAACAAAACAAAAAGTATTAAAATCTGATATAATAATAAACTCTAGAAACCCAACCATACATGAGGTGGAAATTATTATGAAGAAAAAAACAGCCCTAGAAAAATATTGCAAAAAGAAATTTTTTTCCACATTACTGTTGATGCTGAATGCTGATTGATTGAGCGAGAGAGGGAGGGAAGGAAAATCAATTGAAATGGAGATTATAATGAAGTTTTGTGAAAGAGGGCATGGTTGACTGACTTGGTTGAGTGAACAAAATCACATTGCAAGAGGGAAAATAATTTATAAACTCAGGAACACCACTTTCTGCCACTCTATTATCACGTCTTTGATCACACATTCATGCAGATACTTAATGTCTATGACTAGCACGTGTTCTTTATTTATTTACACTTAGAAGGCTGCCCAACTCGCAAATGACTTTGGGAACTCATAAGTTTAAAGCAAGGCAAATAATTACAAAAATATATATCCAAACATGTTCATTTCTTTCATGAACTGACTGATCATAGGACAGATTTCTTACAATCCGCTGCATGTCTATACAAAAATAAATTGAATGAGGTAAAATGTGTCTAGAATTACACATTTTTAACATTAATTACACAGAAGTAATTACACAATTACTTCTTTTTCACTCAAAACTATTCCTTCTATGATCTTTCTAGAATATTTTGCATAGATTTTACTGTCGCCTCTTTCCTCGCAGAATTGTATTTGATGATGGATTAAATCATAATTGTGAACTGTCAATGGGACTTATTAAGCCAAATATATACAATGAATGAATGAATGAATGAATGACTAAATGAATGAATGAATAAATAAATAAATAAATAGTCTACTGCAACATAGTGGCTGGGCTCTCATATTGTGCTGAGACATGATGTAGTTTGTTTTTGCATGTTTGTCTGGGGGCAGGGCTTAATACGATGTATAACTCCAGCCATTTTAGCTTAGTCCTATATATGCAAAGCAGGGTATAATTATTTGTTTGTACATTAAGTGTATGCTGGGGTTACATCTGCTTAACCAAGACAATATACACAATGCTACAGAGTTAAACATATTTCAAAAATGTAACAAGAGTTCAGCACTTGCCTTTCTAAGAGGTAGCTTAAGGTTTGTATCACAGCTGGCTCAGGAACTACACATAACTTGTCACTATTAGTTTTGTGGCATAGAGAGTTCTGGTCTTCTTTCTCTTTTTTTCCAGTTTGGGATAAGTTAAATTAGCATCCATTTCATCCCTTAAAACCTCCAACAAGTTTTGACCCCCTAGGATGACTGTCAAGAAGCAAGAAGTTTGCATTTCTGGGATATACTGTACCACGGAGATCCTTTTTTAGATACATAGTACTTTGAAAGACATCACTGCTCATCTACAGACATTGTACATTCATGCTTTCTAGCAAAGCTGGCCCAACAAAGACTTAGTATCTGTCAGAAGGAGAAAGCTCCAATTAGTAGTTGCTGAGCTGTAAATGCAGACTTGCAGAATTATAAATGCAGAATAGTGAAGTTCCCTGCAAAGTGAATGAATGGCCAGTCAGGAGCCTTTCCTGTAGTATTGTTTGTTTATTCGTGTCAGAAGCATCACAATTAAGGCATGTACACTGATCAGGACACAGGTATACATATGTGTTTTTATCTGCATGTCACCAGAATCGCAAAGGGCAGAAGGCACCGGATAGCCCCATGTGTTAAGGATGTCTCTGGATCTTGTTGTACCTGTGCACAGTCTGTTCAACAGTTTCCAGCTTTCTCCAGGCACAGGTACCAGCTCTTCCATTGGTTCCATCCAGAGTTGGTTCTTTGTTGCTTTCTACAGGTCCACTCTATTTTCAAATTCTTTGAAGTCTTCTGTCCACTTAAAGAAGCTTTTCCTGGATTTTAATCTCTGATCATCTGGTTATAGGCCAGAAAGTGGGGGTTGTCTAGATATAAATGATTTATATCATTTCTCTGTATGCTACCTATTTGGCTATTCAGAATTTATCCTCAAGCCAAAGAACCTGACAATTCAGGATGTTTTTTTTTTTCAAGAGGCAACCGGACTTGTGTTTTTCTTTGAAAATGTTTCGCTTCTCATCCAAGAAGCTTCTTCAGCTCTGACTGGATGGTGGGGAATGGAAGGAATTATATTCCTTGCAGACAATGGGTCATTTGAATTCTTTTAGACCAGGGGTCTTCAAACTTGTCCCTTTTATGACTTGTGGACTTCAACTCCCAGAATTCCTCAGCCAGACACACAAGTCATAAAAGGGACAAGTTTGAAGACCCCTGTTTTAGACAGACCCTGAGGCCACTTCTTAGAGATTTATCTGTGTTCTCAGGGTCACCTGAGTAAATGGATGTGGAACCTTCTTGGAACTTCTGAAAGGATTGGGTTGTAGACTGGAGATAGATGTCATATCCCTCCTCATCTGTTGAGAGAGGGCTGTTCAATTTTGATGTAGATGGTCTCTGAGACCTTTTTTAAACCAGCAGTCCTCTCTGTCCAAAATGTGGACTTTGCTGTCTTCAAAAGAATGGCCTTTGTTTTTTAAATGCAGATGGACTGCTGAATCTTGTCCTGATGGGTTTGTTCTCCTATGTTGTGCCATGCATTTATGAAGTGGTTGTTTTGTTTCCCCAATGTACAGACCTGCACACATCTCACTGCATTTACTGCATATACCATGATGACTTAGAATCTCCATAGACATTTGGGGTGTTCTTCTTGTGTGCATGCTAGAGATCAGGGCTTTTTTTTGGTCATAGAATGCCCAGAACAGAGTTCCGGCACCTTTTTTTGGATGGAACCTTGTAGGATAGGCAAGGTGGGTTGTATAACATGTGTGAGTTCCGGCACTTTTTTTTTTTTTTTTTTTTACAAAAAAAGCACTGCTAGAGATCATCTCTGGGGGTTAAAAGGGGAGCTGAGGGCAGCACAAAGTTAGAAGAGGTTCCAAGCTGCATAACGGAAAACACTGGTACAAATGAGAGGGAGGAAGCATGCACAATGAGACACACAGACTCATTCCCAACAGCCTGCGACTGTGTACAACAGTGAAAGGAGACAGGGCAGAAAACATCCTGCAGACAAGGTTCCACAACCATTTGCACTACTCAGGTGACCCTGAGGACACAGGTAAACCTCCAAATGGTCCCAACGACTCTCTAAAGAATGCAAATGACCAGCTGTCTGCATTGAATATAAATCCTTCCATTCCCCACCACCCAATCAGAACTAAAGCTTCTTGAATGAGAAGCGAAACGTCTTCAAAGAAAAAACAAGAAAGTCCAGTTACCTCCTGAAAAAGCACCATTGTGATAACCAATTACTTAAATGACTGAGAATCTCCATAGACCCAAAGCGTGCTCAACTTAAGCAAGCTTCAGCATGCAGCAGTTTCAAATTGCCCTTCACCTTAGTGCTGCAAGAACTTTCTATGGCTATACATCAAACCATGCATAGATAATAATGATTTCAAAACAACACTGAGAAGAGCGATCAGGCAGCCATCGGAACCCCACGGCTGCGGTTCAAAAGCTCCCGGCGACAAAAGCCAGCTTTCTCCAGCAGAATGAGCAGATCAGCTGTGTCCCGGGGAAGGCAGTCCTGATCAATCAACAGAAGAGCAACCGATCGCCTCCCAGGCCGAGGAGTTGCGGCGGTAGGGCGGGCGGTGCATTGCGCGTGCGTAGAATTGGCCTGGCTATTTTTTTTTTTCTCTCTCTCTTTTCCAGCCCCCTCCCCTTCAGCTCGCGGCTGCCGCGGCGTCTCCTCCGCGGGCTCCCTCTGCTGGCGGAGGCAATTGCGGGTCGTCGCGTTCCATGGCCGGCGGCGGGGGACCATGACCGACTACGGGGAGGAACAGCGCAATGAGTTGGAGGCCTTGGAGGCCATCTATCCGGACTCTTTCACAGGTAGGGCAGCGAGTGGAACAGGGCTTTGGGCAGCGCGTGGGTTCGCAGGGCGACTGTGGCAGCGGCGGCGGCTGCTGCTGCTGCTGCTGCTGCAAGTTTCCAGCATGCGGTGAGGATTCTTTTGCCCCGTTCTTCCTGTTAAGAGTTTTTCTTTCGGGACTCGATCCCAGCACTGGTCGCTTTGCCACCTAGTGTGTTGTGAGAAGCTCGAGCAGGTTTCACTGGATCGTGAGAATCCAGAAAATTGGATAAAGAACCCAGCTATTTGAACTTCGCTTTGGATTTCCAGCTTTCCGAAAGATATAGGAGAGCCGGGCTCTTCGGCAATTTATTGGGGGTGGGAGGGTGCAAGAAAAAGGCTTAAGCTCTCCAGTAACTTGGCTTAGGGGTGCTTGAACGGTAGGCGGTACAACTCATGCCCTCGGAAGTAGCCTCTTTAAAAAGTCATTCCTGCTTAGGCCCCGATGCCGTCATTCATTCAAACTGCACTCTTTGAATGTAATAGCTGCTTATTAAAACATTTGTGATATAACCATCCTTTGGAATGCTAAAAGCAAGTTTAGAATAAAGTTTACAGTAAAGTCATAACCCGAAGCACTTTAAAACACGTCCTTGTAAAACGTAATTATCGGGTAGCGTTTTCTACCCGAGTCAACGGTAGTGTAGTGGTTAAGGCACTGGCCAGACTTTGATTCAGGTCTATTCAATCACAGAAACTCATTGGATGATTTTAGACCAGTCTCTTTTTCTCAGCCCAGCCTAACTCACAGGATGGTGTTGTGGGGACTCTCTACACCACCTTGAATTCCCAAAGGAAAAGCAGTAGTGTGTGTAAGATTGCTATTACACCTTGACTTGGTCATCTGGCTAAACATACACATGTCCTTTCACTGGTAGGAGCCTTCACCATTTTAATGGCCTTCTGTGATGTTACTCCAATTTGTCATATTTTGAACTGTGTTACCCAGGACTGGACACAACTCTTTAAATTTGTTTTGACCAGGGTAAAATAGAGCAGAACAATAATTTCTTATTATTTGGACTCTGTGCTCTTGTTAGTGAATCCCAGGATGGCATTTGCCATTTTAGCAGCATCATCACTCTGCTGGCTTGTGTTGAGCTTGCAGTTGGCAAGAACATCCACATTCTTTTTACCTGGGCTACTGCCAAATCAGCTGCCCCCCCCCCCGCCCCCCATCCTAGGCTTGTATCATATATTATTTCCTATCCAGATGTAGAACTGTACATTTTATCTTGTTAATTCCTATCCTGTTCATTTAGGCCCATTACCTGGCTAGACTTTTAAACATCTTTTTCTCCTCTAAAGTATAAGCTACCTCTCCCAGCTCGGTGTCATCTGCAGATTTGATAAAGTGTCTCTTCAGCTCCTTCATTCAGTTCATTGATAAAAAAGATGAACAGCACAGGACCCAGGAGAAAGTCATATGGCACTCCATTTGACACTTCCCTCTAAGCTAAAATGGAACCATTAGTGCTGCATGTTGTCTGTCATTCAACCAGATTTACGTATCTGTTTGTTTAAAGTGAAGAACAGAATTTCAGCAGTTTAGAACTAAAGAAATTTACATGCCAATTTGCAGCGGTATTCTTTTAAAAAAACCATATGAAAAATAGTTTTTCTTATCTGTTCTTTTCTTCAACAGTGTTATCAGAAAACCCTACAAGTTTCACTATCACTGTGACATCTGAAGCAGGAGAAAATGATGAAAGTAAGTTGAATGCCCCTCAGTGTTTATATGGGGGGGGGGAATCTCAGAGAGAATAATTTTGTACAAATAATTGAAAGCAAGAGCAGATTATTTCAGTATGAAACAGTGAAAGGCTTGGAAATCTATGATGCTTATATTGGGGAAAATATTGGATTTTACTGCAGAAAATTCAAGTTGAAATCCTTATTTGGAAATAAACTGCTGGATTGCTTTGGGCAAGTTGTTGTCCTGAAGGTGTTTCAGTGGGGCTTTCCAATAAAATGAAAATGATGGTCTGACTGAGTTCCATGTTACCTTCATACTTGAGTCAATTGATCAAAAAACCTCGGATTCGTGGTACAAGACATGAGAAATATTACCTGGATATTTGGTTTGGCACAGCAACCAGTCAGGACAGTTAGAGACTTCAATGCAATGGATCAACTGCAGAAAAAAACAATTGCAACCAGCCTGCCTTCCACTGAGGATTTGTACACTGCATGAATCAGAAAGAAGGCTGAGAAAATATCTACAGAAAATATCTACAGATGTCACATCCTGGACACAAACTGTTTCACCTCCTCCCCTCAGGACACATTGCATTGCATGCCAAAACAATTAGACACAAAGACAGTTCCCCCTCCCCTCCATGCCATCACTCTGCTGAACACCTAATTCCCACAGCACTGTCTTAGGCCTAGAGATATTTACCCATGTAGTAGGCTGTATTGATATTATCCTTCTCATCTTTCCTAATACCTTCTCCTATTGGTATTTATGAGTTATCACTTGTTGTATCTTAGGCTTAATGATTGTAACTATGATCTCTGATCTATGACTTACCACTTTGTTGTTTGTACACTGAGAGCTTATGCACGGGAAACAAAATCCTTGTGTGTCCAGTCACACTTGTCTAATAAAGAATTCTATTCTATGAATATAGTGAAGATAATTTCATAATATTTTCAAAGCCTGGATTATAAAGTTCGAATGCATACTTACAAGTAGAAAACAAATCACTTGCTTGAATGCAATTAAGTTGTTTATAAATTGAAGCTTACACATATACTTGGAGACTAAAGGATATATTAGATCTTGTCCTTCTAGCATGGATAGAAAAATGTCCTCCAAAACAAAACTCTCCTAATAGATGACACTAGGGCAGTGATGGCGAACCTTTTAGAGACCGAGTGCCCAAAAACTCGCCCCGCTCCCGCTCCTCCCCCATCCCCTGCCCGCCTGCCCAGAGGGCCATTCATTGCCTCCAAGGCCCACCGCAGATCGCCCAGGCAGCCCAGCAGCACTATGGTGGTCACGCCCTCTGCACGCACCCTGCAGCATCAACTGTGCACAATGGGGTGTGAGGGCAGAGTCTTGTCTACGCTGTCTGGCTGCCATGTCCTTGGCTGCGCTGCTCCACATGGGTCACGCTCAGGGGCGACTCCTTCAGGGGGGCTGCTGGAGAGGAGGGGGTCGCACGGGGAGGCAAGTCTGGGGCAACGGCATGTGTGCCCACAGACAGGGCTCCAGTGCCACCTCTGGCACCCGTGCCATAGATTTGCCATCATTGCACTAAGGAATCAGAGTTGGGAGTAGATTGAGAATCTATTACTCTTCTGCTTATCCACATCTCTATGAATATTAAAAGTTATAAAAGTAATTTTTAAAACCATGAAAGATGATTAAAAAAAAGAAGGTAGAAATGCTACTTCTTCTCATCTGCTGTCTGCCAGCAGGAATCCCAAGAGTGTTTTGAGTGGATCTTCCCACAAGCAATGATAATATTACTAACTAAGTGGCCAATATTAGTAATTTCAGTTGGACATTTAAATTGCCTTTTTTTTCTGTTGCACTACAGCTGTTCAGACAACCCTCAAATTCACCTATTCAGAAAAATATCCAGATGAAGTTCCATTGTATGAATTGCTTGCACATGAGAATCTTGAGAATAATGACATTGCAGACCTATTAAAACTACTGCAGGAACAGGTAAGGAATATTCAAAGCAAATTGTTTTTTTCTTGGTTCCAGTAGTTCTTTAGAGGCAGTTCAACTTTTATTCAGTGACTAAAAATAGATGTGACTTGAAAACTGGAAGATAAACGAGATTATGTCAAAACTGTCACGATTAGATTTTCCAAGTTAAAGAGTCATAGATATGGCAGATAATACAAATGAATGTAAGTACTTCATAATTTATTTTGTAAAACTGGGACCCACTGGGTATTAGATGGGAGTGAAGTTAGAACACCTTCTTATAGAAGATACAAGTGTTTATGTCATTTCATAATAACTATCAACTTTTGATGTTCACAAACTTTGAAATGCATTGTAGGGATGAAAAAAAAAACTCGGTGGCAACCCAACACATTTTTAAAAATTCCTTTTACAAAATCACTTGCTGCTGTGAGAAGCATATAAACGAAAACTGAAAAGTTTTGTTGGTGACAGGGTTTATTATTTGTTTGTACCTACTTTGAATTGTGTTTTAAAGCCATTCCTACCACACATTTTTGTGTAACATAAGTTATGATTTTAACTCCAACTAAGCTCTTTGCAAGTAAAGCTATTTTCCCTTGTATTTCAGGCAGAAGAGAATCTAGGTATGGTAATGATCTTCACGCTGGTGTCAGCTGTGCAAGAAAGACTGAATGAAATAGTGGATCTAATAAAAACAAGAAGAGAAGCAGAAAAGAAACAGAAGGAAAAAGAGGCAGAGGAGGCAGAAAAGGTGATAAAAATTCATCAACACATTGTTATAAGAAAGAAAAAGTAGCATTTGCAGTATTTGAATCTATACCCTGATTTTTTACAGTGTTTCCAGTCTGTGATACAGGGATCACTGGAGAACAAAAGGGTGATATTGGTGGATGGATAGAAGGATGGATGGATAGATAGAGATGATAGATAGATGGATGGATGGATGGATGGATGGATGAATGGCTAGATGATGGATGGTAGGCTTCTCATCCAAAGTCATGTAAGATTATACAATACAAGCCCACGAATTGTACTTTATTGTTGCATACTAAGAATCTAGAAGCTTAAAGCTCACTTGTCTGTTCTTTTTATGGACCAATATTCTGTTTATTAGAAATATATATTTGTATACATGTATATGTATATGTGCATGTGTAAGTACATGTGTGTACACTGTCTGAATACACACACACACATACACACACGCACATACACATACGGTCTTGTATTCTTTGCAGAAAGCAGATGGGAAACAGGAAGGAATTCAATATGTCTACAAATGTTGAAGTAGATAAACTAAATCACCTGAACTCAAGCTGGGTAACTGGTGGTAGACAAAAGTTGGGATGTTCTTTCAGCCTCACCAAGAATCCTATGATTAGGTTGGTCCACTTTTAGGATACTTGCCATCTAGTGTTTGCTAAAGTATAGTGGTTAAAGGCAGCAAGCTACAATCCTGGAGATCATAGGTTCTAGTCCTACCTTAGGCATGAAACCATCTGGGTGACCTTAGCCAGTCACTTTCTCTCAGCCTTAAGAGGTAGCCAATGGAAAACCACTTGCAGAAAACCTTGACAATAAAAAGCCCCTACAAGAACTGGTCTAAACAATCCCCACGAGTCAAAACAAATTCAAAGGTTCACATGCACGCACATACACCTAAATGAAAGGAAAATAGCCCTATTCAATCAATTAGTTTACCCTTAGCAGAGGATAAGAAAAAAAAATATTCTGTTGATTTATGGCTGCTGAATGATAGTCTTTTGGCTTTCTCATCTCTTTTAAATTGGCTTATTAATATAGTGTGACAAATAAAACCCAATATAATCCCATCGTCTGCATGTGAAATCTTGGATCAGGTTAGTTAGATAAACTATCTACGGAACCACCAATATATGTGTGTGTATCTAATGACTAAGAATATATTTGCATATGATAATGTGATTACATACAGATAATTCTCAATTTAGGACTGTTATTGAACCTGGAATTATGGTTGGGAGTTGTATTGATTGTTGCAAATAACCAGGGTTATTAAGCAAATTCCCAGTTGTTAAACAAACACCAACTAGTTAAGTGAACCCATTGTTTGCAATGACCACTTTTTTTGTCAGAAATTGAAAGTAAACATCAGTTTCTCGCAAAAAAACCCAAAATAGCCATAAATGGAGACCAGTTGCCAAATGCCCAAAATGTGATCACATGACAATAGGATGTGTGTGTGTGTGTGTGTGTGTGTGTGTGTGTGTGTGTGTAGGTGTTGGAACTTTGAATCTGAGTTTGGCATTGCACAACAAAACAACTAGACACAATGCCATCACTCTGCTGAACAACTAATTCCCACAACATTGTCAAACAACCTGTATTACTATTATCCTTCTCATCCTTCCTATTACCTATTCCTCCTCTTCTTAAGACTACAACTTTGTTACTTGTATCTTGCAATTTATATTGTTTTTTAGTATCCTAGTATGATTTATGTTGATTGCTTATTTAGTATCCTATGACCATTACTGAGTGTGGTATCTTATGATTTATGATGAAAGTATTTTTTATGATGATTATGATCATGATTTATCACTTGTTGTTTGTATGTACACTTAGAGCTTATGCACCGGTGACAAATTCCTTGTGTGTCCCATCACACTTGGCCAATAAAGAATTCTAATTCTAAATACCTTTTTGGGGGTCCCTTGTAACTTCGAACTGTGGCTAAGTGACCAGTTGTAAGTCAAGGACTACCTGTAATGTCCTATTTTTAGGAAGAGGACTACAGTTACTTTTGGCCTTGGATTTTCCTTGGTTGTGTTTGTTTGCTTCTTTGTTGTGCTATTTATTTATTTTATTTTGGAATATATAGCCATGATGATGATAAGATGATGATGACAGTAACAACAATAATGGCTTTAAATCTTTGTGTGCCACTTTCCACTTCCCATTAAAGAATCTCAAAGTAATTGTTATCAGTACTGTCAACAGTTCTGGCTGGGATTATAGTTGCCTCTGTTGCCTACTTGATTGCATGAGAATAAGTTTGATATATCAAACCTGGAAAGCCGGTGACATTATTAATCTGCTATTATCCTTTGTTACATTTTTTGTAACGTTATCTTATTTTTCTCCATCTGTGTAGCAATGTTTTCATGGCACCCCTGTCACTATTGAAAACTTTCTACGCTGGAAGGCAACATTTGATTTGGAGCTTTTAGAAATCAAAAGAAAAAAAATGAAAGAAGAAGAACAGTGTGGCAAAAATAAATTAACAGGTGGGATATAATAGTCTGTCTTATATAAGCCATCTGCCTGGTGTTAGATTGCTGGGGGATTTTATTTTTTCATTTGATATATTAAATCCACACAAGCTGTGTCAAATTGATTAGTCATGCAGCACTGGGTGGTGAAAAATATCAGTGTTCAAGAAAGCAGTCCACATTATCCACAGAAATACAGAAGTTAAATAATTGACACTGATAAATGTTGGAATAGATAGATGCTAAGAAATACAATGATACCTCAGTACTCATCATTAATTGATTCTGGGAGCATGATGAGTTATCAAAAACAATGAGTACCAAACATTTTTTTTCCTGTAAGGAATAATGTAGTGAGTCACAAGGCAGCTGACCTCCATAAGTTCTAGCTTGTGTGTTGAGTATCAAACAAGTACTGGGCAAAATTTCCATGTCAAAATGTGTTGAGTACCAAATTCTATGAGTTTCAAAGTAGTTGAGTAACAAGGACGAAACTGCATCCTTGAGTTGTTCAGGTTGCTAATATCACATACCCTAGTTCTGTAAGAGATAAAGGTTATCAAATTCAGTAGGAGCCTTCTATAGCTGCAATGTAATTTCCAAATTATAACTTTCAAGTAAGGTAGGATTTTTGTCTCAGATTACAATTGTATTAAACACAGAAAGAAAACCTAATTTTCTCTAATATAGTATGCAAGAAGACATATTAGGGATAAGAGAGTGGGAAAGGCTTGTGCACATCATGGTTGTTATTTGCATGAACAAATCTAGACCAGGTCCAGATTGTAACTAAGGGTGAGGCCTTAGGTATAATGTGTTGTGTTTGTTTAAAGATAATTCAATTTAATCATGGCTCCCCATATTATATGAGAGTGGAAATTATCTAGTCATCAGACCTCAAAGTCAAAAAGTACTGTAGTTCTTGGTATTCAAGTTGGATTTTCATTCTTCTACTCCATCATAGGATTATCTTCAGAGTTGTAATCTCAAGTATAAATATGTTCATTATACCACATCATAAGATTATCTTCAGAGTTGTAATCTAAAGTATAAATATGTTCATTATACCACTATCCAAATCAATCTAATTTTTTTATTTCTTAATAGGAAAGCAACTGTTTGAGACAGATCATAACCTTGATACGTCTGATATTCAGTTTTTAGAAGATGGTAACCTTCTATTATTTATACTTTAATTGCTATAGAATATGATTTTAATGGTAAAGGCTATTTACTGCTAAATGTTCTGGCATTTACCACTAAATCTACTGGTATTTTCATATCAATTGGCTAAAGTTTGCCTTCAATGCTAATAAAGTTACTGATATGCTTTTGGTAATAAACAGTTACTTCTGATTCAGTGGTAATGTGAAATCTGGGAGATATCCCTTTAAACAAAATATATTCTTCCATCTGTATCTGCCCTTTTAATGTGATGATGAGCCTCTAGCAGAAAGGAAAAAGTTAACTGAGCAAGCATATCTGTTTATGTGGATATAAAATGCTAAATACCAGCTGAAATCAAATAACTTTGGATGTGGCTTAAACTGAGAATACATATGAAAAACACCAGTTTTAACACCTGAAATATTCTTTATAGGATTCCATTTCACATGCACTTTTTCTTAAAAAAATGTTTTGCAAATAACTTGCAAAACTTGGCAAAGAAAACTGCAGGGACTAGTCCAAGCAGCTGAAGGAAGTCAAGACTGACTCGAAAGCATACACACAGAAAAAGCTTTGGCATTGTACCATCATCGCTTACATGCCTAGTTGTATGTATTTTTCCTCCAACATAAACATCAAGCTTGATAATATCAGGGACAAAATCATGGAAGACAGAAGGTGTCACTATTGCTCCACAGTTATCTTTTTCTTCCTTGTCCAGAGATGTATATCATTGATTCTGTGTGATTAACTCAGACTCAAACTATACACTGGCGACATATCCAGTCCTTTCCCCAAGATGCTTGTTTAACTGCGGGAGACTTCTCAGGGGATCTATAACATAAACAGTTGAAAAAGCAATTTGAAGAAGACAGTGTAATTTTTCTCCTCCTCTACTGTTCAACTACTCTTGGCTTCCAGAAAATTGTACTCCTTTTTGGAAAAAAATAATAACCTTAATTTGTATGTTACTAATTCAAAATGATGAAATGGCAAGTATCGAGATATCTCCTTAACCTCATGAGCCATGCCCAAGTATTCCTTCAGAATTTAGTACATGTCACATAAAAGAACACAATTTAAGTTCAATCCCATTTGCTTGAGTTGATTGTGTAAGTACAGACCGTCCACTGTCTGTTTTCTGTCTTTAGAAATTATAGACCCCTTTGCGTGCTGGGTCAGTTTTTTTTAGTTAGGACTGCTAAGTGGTCATTACAAGTAGCCAGTTTGGAATTCAACTCTTTTCTCTCTGTCATCTTTATTTTCCTTCCCCCCCCCCCAAAGGTGGAAACAGTGTGGAAGTAGATGAATCGTTGTTCCAGGAAATGGATGATTTGGAATTGGAGGATGATGAGGACGATCCGGATTACAACCCTGTTCATCTAGATAGTGACTAGATCTGAAATCCCTCCACTAGCTACTTTGATCGTAGGTTTGGTTGGATACTTGTACCCAGAAAGATGCACATGTGATTTGGATATCTTTTTCTTCAAAGAAGAGGGTGGAAGTATTTTAAGACCAAGTGACTTCTTTTCTGGTGGCTTTCAGCCCAGGTAATAAACAGACTTTAACATTTGAGATTTGTGTCTCTTTGTGTATTCCTAAAGAAATAAGCCTTTCTGGAAAAAACAGAAAGTTCTCTTCTCAAATTAATTGCATTGTTGTAGTAAGGGCTTGGATTACAATAGTTGTTTTGAAGGCGATGCTTCCCCCCCCCTTCTTCAATTATAAATCAACCATAGTTGATTGTAGGAGGACAGTTCTGAAGGGAAATTGGCTTTCTTCTGTTTTGTTTGGGACATATAGTTTTTCACATCACCTTGAAGATTACAAAATTATGATAGGATGCTTATTTTAGAAGAAGGATGAGACCTATAGCTTCCCGAAAGAATGATAATTTTTGTCTGGTGCTGTAATCTTAAAGTTGAACAAGATGTCTGTGTTGATGCCACTAAACCCAGTTTTCTCCTGAAGCATATCCCTCAAACCTGCCAGGTTTATTGTAAAAAATGTAAAAAAAAAAGTGAACTATAAAGTGGACTATATACTTTCAGGAGCTGGAAGTAGCCTGTTATCTTTGGAAGTGTTTCGGATTATATTTCATCTTCCCAATATTTCAGTAACCAAATTATGTCCTATAATTGAAACATTAAAGTTCATCTCTGTCGCTACAATCAGAGATTCCAAAAAAATCAGCTGTCAGTGTGCTATATAAAAATTAATTTTGGGTGTTTTGTGTGGCTCTAAAAACCTGTATCTACAAAAGATTAACCTATTGTCACTGAAAAAATGTTTTGAGGTCTCCTGTCTCACTTGGTAAAATGGAATTCATGGGAAGCATTCTTAGAATTGCCACGTCCCAGTTTTGTCTTTCCATTCCTTTTTCCAAATTTATGAGCAATATGTGTTGATAGGAAATTAAAATATGGATTTGAAAAACAAGTGTTACTGATGTAGTTTCAGAATTTCTCCTTCTCAGAATAAACATAAATCTTTTTTTAAATTAGCTTCTTAAGTGTGTCACAATAAGCCATCTACTGTGATATAATTATGCTCAGGGCACCCACATGAGAAGTAAAAAGATCAATATGGCACCAACAATTTGACAATCAAAGCTCCCCCCCATGACACACCTAAAAAGGGTGGGGCTTCAAACTATCACTATATTTGAGGGGAAGGTGGAGATGTCAGGTGAGAGAAACAAGAAATTTGGGCTAAGGTAGCAGATTGTAATAGGCTCAATGTTGTTTTGGCATCAGTTAAGGACAGGAGTTTGCCAGTTCTATTTAATGTGATGACATTCACAAATAAAAGAGCCTTAATAACATAAAACCAGGATACCCATAACTTTTGGGGGGATTTTTATAATATCTTTACAAAGTTTCAACATCATATATTAAAATAGAAAGCAACCTAAAAGAGAAAAGGAATGACAAAATACATTAAAGGTGCCCTAAAGGGAAAAAAATACATTTAACAAATATAACAAAGGTGACCTCCAACTTTCTTTTAGTTCAGCAATAGTAACAATACAACTTGACTCTAAGTTTAAGAAATAACACCAATCTATAAACTATTTTAAAATACTAGTAGCCAACTTACTATAAGCTAGTATTCAAAAAAAAATGTTCTCTTAATTTCCTTTAAAAGATAGTTATCAAATGAAAATAATCTTATATTTGAAAAACTACAATCTTTCTCTAGTCAAATTGAAACGAATCTTCAAAACCCCAAAGTCAAGCGATGATTCTTCTCTTTACTCTGTAAGAAGCCTATCAATGGTTGGCACCCTTAAAAGCTTTTGAATGGGAGGAGGGAGCACTGGGCTGGGTGACAAAAGAGGCTTTCAAAAATTACATTCAGTGTCTTGGTTAGAGGCACCTCAAGCGACTGCCAAAAATCATCTGCAACCTTTCCAGGTGGCTTTTCTTGAGCAGAGTCGATGGGGGAAGCTAGCTCCACTTGGCAACCGCAGCAAAAAAGGTAGTAAAATTGGAGAGGTAACTCATTTAACAACCACTTTGTTTAGCGATGGAAGTTCCATCCCAATTGTGGTTGTAAGTTGAGAACTACCTGTAGCCATAATTATGTGTCCCCTTTCAATGGTAATGACAGGAGCAATCAATCCCTGCTAAGATTTCCTTTTTCATGCACAGGTTCCGTGAAATCTTTTCTCTTGTCCCATTCTGAAGTTTACATTTTTCCAGTGAACATTATTAAGCTTATCTAATAATGGAGTAGTCCAAAATGTAATCAGCCATATAGCTCAGGATTAAGATATAAATAAGTGCTTTGTCATTTTTTTCAAGCATATACAACTGAAACCTCCTTGCTGTGCTTTATTTTATTTTTCATCAAGCTGGAAATGGACTCAGTTCATCATGAATATCACAGCAAAATTTGAAGGGCGGTTTTGTATTCCTTAAAAAGATTTCACTCAAGGCAACCATCGGATTGTATTTCTCAATTCCTAAGTAGTATTTGTTACAGGGAGCAGAGAGAAAGTGCAGGTAGCAATGAGCAAAAGAATATTTTTTATTTATTTCAGAAAGGACTGGGGCAGCAAGAGGTGAAGTGTGCATCATGACATCACAATGCAAATTGTGTGATTTAGGTCCTCGGGTTCCAAATGCAAAGATGTGATAACAATGTTCACGTCATCACTACAGGTAATCCTCGTTTAACAACTGCAATTAGGACCCACAACTTGGGGGTTAAGAGAAGCAGTTGTTAAGTGAAGCATCACAATGTAACAATCTTACTTTAGTTTTCCTTTGCTTTACAAAGGACATTAACGTGAGGATTGGTTGCAAAGTTACTTTTTCAGCACTGTTGTAACTGTCTACGGTTGGAGTCTACATCTGAGTGGAAGGAGAGAGTGATACTCATGTCTCAGTGCTATACCTTTATTGGGCCAACTAATAATGGAATAGTCCAAAATGTAATCAGCCATATAGCTCAGGATTAAGATATCAGCACTGTGTAGGAATTGTTCTAAATAAGTGCTTTGCCATTTTTTTCAAGCAAGTACAACTGAAACCTCCTTGCTGTGCTTTATTTTATTTTATTTTGTTTTATTTCCAGCAAGCTGAAAATGAGTTCATGATGAATATCACAGCAAAATTTGAAGGGGGTTTTGCTACTCCTTAAAAATATTTCCCTCAATGCAACATCAGGGTGCATTTCTTAATTCCCAAGTAGTAATTGTTACAGGGAGCAGTGAGAAAAGAACATTTCTTTTAGAAAGAACATTTTAGAAAAGACTGGGACAGCAAGAGGTGAAGTGTGCATGTTCACATCATCACTACAGGTAGTCCTTGTTTAGCAACTGCAATTGGGACTCACAACTTGGGGGTTAAGAGAAGCAGTTGTTAAGTGAAGCATCACAATGTAATGATCTTACTTCAGTTTTCCTTCGCTTTACAAACTACAAAGGACATAAATGTGAGGTTTGGTTGCAAAGTTACTTTTTCAGTACTATTGTAACTGTCTAGACAAGGCAGTTGCTAACCAGCTGCCAAAAAAGCCAACACAGTGCTGGGCTGCATTAATAGAGGGATAGACTCAAAATCACGTGAAGTATTAATACCACTTCACAATGCCTTGGTAAGGCCACACTTGGAATACTCCATCCAGTTTTGGTCACCATGATGTAAAAAAGATGTTGAGTCTCTAGAAAGAGTACAGAGAAGAGCAACAAAGATGATTAGGGGACTGAGGCTAAAACATATAAGGAACGGTTGCTGGAATGTGGTATGTCTAGTTTAACGAAGAGATGGACGAGAGGGGACATGATAGCTGTGTTCCAATATCTCAGGGGCTGCCACAAAGAAGAGGGAGTCAAGCTATTTTCCAAAGCGCCTGAAGGCAGGATAAGAAGCAACAGGTGGAAACTAACCAAAGAGAGAAGCAACCTAGAACTAAGGAGAAACTTCCTGACAGTTAAAACAATTACCAGTGGAACAACCTGCCTCCAGAAGTGGTAAATGCTCCAACACTGGAAGTTTTTAAGAAGAAATTGGACAGCCATTTGTCCAAAATGGTATAGGGTTTCCTTCCTGAGCAGGAGGTTAGACTAGATGACCTCCAAGGTCCCTTCCAGCTTTATTATTATTGTTGTTGTTGTTATTATTATTATTATTATTATTATTATTATTATTATTAACTATAGTACATAAGTGTCCATTTTCTATTAATGGGATTATCTCCAGATAAGAAGTTACTCAGTGTCCACTTTGAACAGAGCTGTTTTTTTCATAACTGTCTGAATGGGGAGATGACTTTCAGGGAATTCAGCAGCAGCATGATGATTATATTTGTAGTCTTTTCACCAGGCTTTTTTTTTTTCCAGATTCAGCCTTTACAGGGTAATTGCTCGTAGCAATGGAATTTTTCTGTGAGTCCAACCATCTTCCATTTGCCTGACCTTCTGTTTCTCCATTAACTTCATTCCCAAGATACTTATACCAAAATTTTGAAACCATGAAATTATCACAATAGTAGCATGTTCTGACAATCTTTTTCTTATTCTGCATCCCTTCATCTTATTTTTTCACTTTCCAGTTTTAACATTTACCTTTAACATGGGTTTGGGGCTCCTTGGTTCTTGGAGAAATCCCATTATTGGTCATGAATGGGGTTGCACTGCGTCAGACATATTCAGTGCATATTCTGGGCCTAAAGTCACCCCAAAGAGGTGACAAAGAATGAAGGGTGTCTTGTTGATCATGGAGAGATGGCGGTCTTTCCGTTTGACCTGAGGAAAGTTCTCCAAACTGACAACTGAAGAAACAAAGCACTAACTAACAATCATAAACAGCATGTTTGGAACTGGATGAGAATATTGATCCTTTCTTTACTATTTTACAACTGAATTTCCTGGAAAAGGCTCCCAAGAAGCTAAAAACCTCCTAACATGAGAAGGAAAGAGACTGTAGCCCCACCCTTCCAGAGGAATGGAAGTGGTGTTTTCATGTTTTTATGGGGGACAGAAATACATAATACTGAAGTGGAAACAATATAAAACTACAGCCTTGATAAATTTGAGAACTGAGATAATTAAGATTTTTTAATATTGGGGTGAAATATAAGAAATCAACGTTCTCTTTTGAGAGTGGAAAATGGATATAGAATGAAATCTAGTGGTGGATTAGAGTACAGCACTAGAACTGCAACGACTGATGCTGGCCTGGTGAGAAGCTGAGAGACAGAAAATAACCTAGCTTCTTGGCTGCTCGGTGACTCCTAGTTTAATAGAGAACAGCTTTGGATTGTTTTTAGGATGGTTGAATATTTTGAACACTTTGAACATTGTGGATTGTAACTTGGCTTGATTGACAATTTTTGGATACCAGAGCAAAAGGACTATTATAAAACATTGCTTTTAGTGCTGGACTCATATCTTGGAACCTATTGGATTATAAAGGCTATATATAAAGACCAGAAAAACTAGATGAAACTTTGTTCTATTGCCATTAAGATTGGTGATATTAGATAAGACTTGTATTTGGAGATCACAAAAGTTTTGACAGAATATCTGGAAGGGGGAAAACAAAATGGAGGCCTTATACCCAGCTAAAAAAGGCATGAAATATACCCAACACCTCCATTTGTAGCCCCCAGTCAAATTTATGAAGGAGCTGCAGGAGTGACACTTCAAGAAAAAATAAATACTTTTCAGAAGGAAATATATTCTATGCTACAATTAATTCACCAGAAATTGTTTCGCATAAAGAAGAAACAGAAAGAAATTATGATGAGAATAAAAACAATTTCGTTAACATAAATGAGCAAATCTCTAATTTAAATCTACAACTAGAAAGTTCCCAGACAACGACTATAAAGTATGAACAAGCAACCCAGAAAACAGAAGATGAATCAGAGGAAATTGATTTAAAGACAGAAGATATAAAAGAAGGGAAATACAAACTGCCACAAACAAATAAAACCTTGCAATACTCAGCTATAATAATGAAAATGGAAATGATACTTTACCCCCTAGGTCTGCAAAATACACTTGAGGACAAGAAAGAAGATTTTTAAAAATGGACTATAGAGATGTTAGGGGAAATGTCAGAAATTGGGAGACAAAAAATGAAAAGCTGAGGGAGAAGAAAAGTGAGAGTTGCTTAAGGATTATAAATGGGAGGAATTCCTCCTCAAAAATATCTTACATAAGTTGTCTTCCTCATTCCAAGCAATTCTCACAAAAACAGAGGAAAAATTCTTTGGCCTTGGCATGGAAAGCTACTTGGCAAAGGAAGAAAGCTAGAGTTAGACTTAAAAAATACACTTGACCTACCAGAGGGGACATTATATGATCAAATATTTGTTTGAATATGATTAAAAGAATGGATAACCCTTAGATATAATTAGACTTTTATAATAAGAAAGATATGATTTATAATTAGAATAGCACTTTTTTTGATAAGGGAAATATAAAAATACGAGGATGGAGTCTATAATTGAAACTCTTTGCTACATAAATGTAACTAATCTTGAGAAAACCATAATTGACAAAGATATTCTGAATATTGATGGGAAATTAAACTTAAATAAGAACTTGAAAAACAGGATATTGATTTAATAAGGAGATTTTAATTGCAAATACATTTGAAATATAAATTGGTTAGAAAAGAGGTTATAAACTGATATTGTTATTTGTATAACACTAGAAAATATGCTGAGGATGTTTATATTCAATTTTGTATCTATTAATAGTAGCAAGAGTGGTATTTGCGTAGTGTTGGGAAAATGTAAACAATTTGGGAAGAAAGGAGGCTCAGAGAAAAAACACTGGATTGTGCAGTATTGAACAGATTTATATTGAAGAAGTTAATGTTAAATATGTGAACCCAGACAACATGTTGTTTACTAAGCACTAAAGATTGTAATTGTTAAAAATCAATAAAATATTAAAAGAAGAAGAAGAAGAAGCAGATTGTGGTCATGGCCAGAGGGCCTACCTGCAATTACGAGTTGTACACCAGTTGCACCCTTTCCTGGACCAACATGCCCTCTTCACAGTCCCCATGCCATAGATGTATCCAGTTTGGAGTACTGTTTCGCATTGTACATGGGGCTTCTGGAATCTTATCCAGAAGATTCAATTAGTTGAAAATGCAGGGCTTGCATAGTATTGCACAAATTGAAATTAGTGCATGTATCACCTTTTGTGATTGAAGGCAAAAGGAGAAGGGGACAGCAGGGGATAAAATGGTTAGATAGTGTCATCAATGCAATGGGTATGAATTTGGGCAGACTCAGAGAGACAGTGGATGCCAGGAAGCCTGGCACACTATGGTCCATGGGTCACAAAGAGTCAGACATGACCTAGCAACTGAACAACAATACCTCTTGTGGGAGCTGCATTGATTACTGATCTGCTTCTGGAAGCAGTTCAAAATACTAGTTGTCATCTTTAAACCTCTACATGGCTTGGTGCCAGGATATTTGAAAGGCCACCTGTCCTTTTTTACCCTAACCCAGGGGTAGGCACCCTTGGCTCTTTTATGATTCGTGGACTTCAACTCCCATAATTCCTGAGCCAGCATGGCTGGCTCAGGAATTCTGGGAGTTGAAGTCCACGAGTTATAAAAGAGCCAAGGTTGCCTACCCCTGCCCTAACCCACCAGAGTGGGAAGACAAGGTATGTTACAGGTCCCATCTATTATGGAGGTACATCTTGTGGGACTGAGGAAAAGGGCCTTCTCTGTGGTGACTCCCTCCCTTTGGAATAGTATTCCCTGGAGATAAGATTGACCCCACTTTGTTACCTTTCTGGAAGATCCTGAAGACATGATATTGTCAATGAATCTGGGGACTCCCAACTGATAAGGAGCCACTCATGGTGTAACTGTGTGGTCACTGTTGCTGGGATGGGTAGAGGAGCTATGGGTTTTTACACTGATATTTCAATGTTATACCTAGAGGCATCATGTATGAATTGGGTGCTTATATGAACTTGTTTAAATAATAAATAATATCATTGGATGAGACCCAGGATGTTAAGTCCTGGGAGCGATGGCGAATGAAGAATACACATGTTTCTGGAACAGCTCTTTATTGTACTTATTTCCAACTCCAACAACAATGAGCAAAGGCATGCAGGCCTCCTTTTATACTTCCCAATTCCCCAGACAAGATGGCAACATTACTAGGCACTTTTCGTGCCTTGCGCATGCGCGCTCAGCCAGCGCCACTCAGTCTGGTCCCGGGCAGCATTTGCAATTGCCCGGGAACCTTGCAATGTCTCAAGTCTACATTTGCAGACTCAGGACACAACACAGAAGATATGCCTTTTCTGGTTCAGTGTTTTCCCCACCCTATCCACAGAGCGCAAAGATTTGTAGGTCCATGGGTCTGTTAGCCTTCAAAAAGAAAAAAAAGCCTTAAAAATGTGATTTTTCCCGTAGGAGTTGGGCTAAGATGATATATCAAGCAACATATATCTTCACGGAGGCGGAAAGTATAATAAATAGGTCTGGCTGTTGTAGCTATATCAGCTTTGGATTTTTTTGTTGATATTATATTTTTTTTATTTGCTATGTTGTCTTTGTGGGGTTTTATTTCATATATAACACCCAGAGTCAGTCAGTAATGGAAATATAAATCAATAAGCAAATGCCATACAATATTTAATAATACCATAGAATTTGATGTTGCTCTGTTCTATGATCTCTGCAGAGTTGAGACTTAAGCATTACAAGGTTACAGAAAGACTGTTCTTGGAAGGTCATCTCTGATCCAAGCCATTTGAAGTTGTGCATCACACATTATTTTCCTCCACTGAGCTGGAAATAGGCTCAAGATCTTCCTGAATATCCCAGCAGAACCTGAAGGGCAGCTTTTCCATCCTCTCCTTAAAGACACGGTCAAACCTTTCACTCTGGGCAACAGTCATGGTGTTCTTCCAGTCCCCAACAGTACCTGGGAAATAACAATTAAAAAAATGTCAACAGTTTTTGTATTCAATTAAACTAGAAGCTATTTATGCCATCCTGTCACCAAAACGTTCATTCTTACACATTCTTATGTGACTAAGTTTGTGTTTGAATCAGTCATGTGAAAAAGAAAGTACATCCTGTTTGACTTCTATGGTTTTATCTATGAGGAGATAGTAAAAATCTGATTCTTAGCTGTTCTTAAAAGTAAGTAAATGCAAACTTAGATGAACAACATGACATTACACTATGTCATCATTTATTTTACACAAAAAAAGCCAAAATGGAGAAGCCGTGTGTGAAAAATTTATGATTTAATAGCTTGTAGAATCACCTTTAGCTGCAATGACTTGAAGTAATCGTTTTCTGTGTCACTTAATCAGTCTCTCACATTGCTGTGGAGGAATTTTGGCTCATTCTTCTTTACAACTTTGCTTCAGTTGATTGAAGTTTGTGAGCATTTGTTTATGTACAGCTTTCCTGAAGTCCCACCACACCATTTCAATCGGGTTGAGGTCTGGACTTCGGGCCATTGCAACACCTTGAGTCTTTTCTTTTTCAGCCATTCTATTGTAGATTTGCTGGTGTGTTTGGGATCATTGTCCTGTTGCGTAGCCCAATGTTGGCCAGCCTTTGTGAATGATCTTCTTCATCATAGAATGATGTATTTTAAATTGTTTGCAAATAACCTTTCCCAGACTGATAGGCAACAACAATGAGTTGTCTAAGATTATTACTGATGTCCTTCCCTCAATGCTGGAGACCAACAAACTCCTAAAACTTTGGGTTTTATAGACCACTGGATTAAGGTCATTTGATAGCAGCACTTAGCTGCTACTTAGCTTCTTCATACCCATAGAAACAGTAAGGATGTTCTTAGTTTCTTCCCCACATGGCTTCTCCATTTTGGCTTTCTTTTTGTAAAATAAATGATGACATGGTGTAATATGTCATGTGCTGTTGTTCAGCTGACTATGTATATACCTAATTTAAAGAACTGCTAAGAACCAGATGATATTTACTATGTCCTGATACGTAAAACCTATAACTCAAAGAGGGCATGCTTTCTTTTTAACATGACTGAATATAAAACATTTCAGGACTTCAGAAAGGGACTATACAAATGAAGATAAAAACTCTTCCAGAGGTGGTTTCCACTCTCCAATTACCTTGCCCACTATGGGCTTCTCTGAGTCTGAGAAAGAGGATAATAGTTTGCAAAACCTGACTAACTTGGAACATTGCACATTTGTCCATTATCAGATCAATGTTTAGCCACCTCTATGTCCATCAAACTGTTCTTAGAATTCTGTATTTATAGTTTTTGGGCAGGAAGTTGTCCCTTATTATTTTAATTAGAGCTGGATTACAGAGTGAAGACTTAATAGAAGGGCAAAGATCTCTGTAACTAGAAGGTGTTGAATGATTCTCCTGCCATAAGTATCTTTTACTGGGAAGTCGGGAACCAATGATCTGCCAGTGAGGTTCTAAATGATCTTGAATTCACCCTTTTGGAACTGGCCCCCTGATTAAGTGAAATGATTGATGGTTCTTTGAGCTTTGGTGATGTCCCTATAGGCTTAAAAGAGACTGGAGGACAGTGCCCAGGATAGAGAGTGAAGAGGTTGTATCTTCTCCATCTTAAAAGTGGCCACTGTGAGCTAGAACAATCCTACTTCCAAAGGATCGTTAGTCTATGCAACCAACATAATGATCATTGAAAACATCAGATTATATCCATGCCCAAAATTTATCAGAGTGAAAAGGAGAACACCACTTCAACATTGGCACAGCTAAGAAAGGCTTATGGCTGCTTCAAATGCAGGCTGCTGATGAGACAAACACAACATCATGGAGAGACAGCAAAAAGAGAGGTTGTTGGGACATGTCCATACCACTTTAGAAAGTGCCTTTCAGGTGAAGGTAGTAATCCTGGTTTCATGGCTGCGATAGATGAGACCAGTAAAAAGAGCTCCAAGGCAAAAAAGATTTCCTTAAGGAACATATTTATTTTGGAGTAGTACCATAAAATTATATATCAATGGAAAGATAATTTAATCAAGAATGTAATGCAATAACTTTTATGAAGGATTTGCTATTAGAATAGCAGTTATAAAAAAGAAAAGTGAAACACGTAGAAAAAACGTGATATAGGGACTTCCGGCTGTGACGTCATCATCGAGCGGGTGAAGGAACAGATCTCTGTTCCTAAGTCCTGGGAAAATCTTCGCCAAGAGCCCAGCAAGGGCTTTGCCAATCCCGGAGAGATCGGTAAATTAAAGAGGGAACTTCAGAGAATCTGGGTGGAAAGCAAACACTCGAGCAGAATGAAGCAGCACTCTTAAAATTGGTGGAGAAGAAACCAGTCTTTAAGGCTGGCCTGGAGCGATAACGGCAGCCTGAGAGGGAGTGAAAAATTGAACTGACAGCTTTGTAACAGGAGATGAGGAAACCCCTGAAGGAGGTGAGGATCATTTGGCTGAGAGAAGGCACAGGAAAAGTAAAGCTATAAGGAGAGAAATACAGCGGCAACTGAATTAAAACAGAGCGGAGAAGGGAGCAAATAGAGCAGAACGAGAACAGCGTGAAGAATGCTGAGAGCCCACAGCAAAGTTTACAAAATGTGAGAGACTGGAATTTAAGAACTGCAAGAAGTTGTGAATGAAATCAAAGAAAGGACTGGTGAAAGGATGGTTGGAGGCAATAAAAGGTGATTAAAAAGGACTTTGAGAAATTAACATAAGGATTAAAAGGTGAAGGGAGACAACGGAGAAATTTAGTTTATTTTTGAAGAACAAATAACATTGAAATTTGGACTTTAGTTGACATATATCTGGACAAAGTGACGAGTGGATGTTTTGGAAATATTGGATACAGAGAAGAAGAAATAAGAGGTGATAGTTGGTGAATTGGTGGACATATTAAATTGAGATTGAGGAAAAAAAGGCTGATGCAATATTCACTCATATACAAGCAGTGATTAAGCTACAAGTAAAAAAGTGGTCTCAGGCAAATGTATTAAAAGTAATGAAGTAAATGAATTGTATTAATGAAATAGAAATAAGTGTAACTGAGTAACTGAACTAAATAGAAGTGGAAAATAATCATAGCATAGTAAAGAAATAAAAACAGGCGACTATTCAAGTAAGAGTGATAGTGAATGAAATTAAGAGTGGTGACAGTACTTAGAGAATAGTATATGTATAGTGTTTTATATATAATTTGTTTTCTGAGGTTTTCGCGGGTGTTTGTATGTAGGTCTTTGGTTGTTCGGGTTTTCTCCCGCGTAAAATTGGAAGTGTCTTTGTGACGTTTCGACGAAGTCCCATTCGTCATCTTCAGGCTGGTGCTTTCAGCTTCGTGCTCCTGGAAGCACGAAGCTGAAAGCACCAGCCTGAAGATGACAAATGGGACTTCGTCGAAACGTCGCCAAGACACTTCCAATTTTACGCGGGAGAAAACCCGAACAACCAAAGACCTATATATATATATATAATAGATGTTAAGAATATTATAATGTGTACTAGATAATAGTGGGATAAGGAAAGGTATAGCTTTACTTGTAATTTTAATTGTTAATGTTAATATTATATAATGATATTATAATCATATATATTGATTTATAGTTAGAAGTATTATATATATTCTTTATGCAAAAGTGGAGAAATATTATTCAAGTAATAAAAATGACAAGTACTATAACTACAACTAAAGTTAGCAAAAAAACAGTTACAAATCCCACAACTACAATGGCCTCTCCTTCAGGCCAAAGAATCATGTTGGTGAAAGAAAAAGAAAAAGTAGAATTGGCAATGAACCCACGGAGTTTGCAGATAACACTACAAATGATTCAAGAAACAATGATGATGACCCAAGAGGCAATAGCAAATAATTATGAAGAAATGAAAATACATCATAAAGAAATTAAGAATGATATTGTAAAAATGAGAGATGAAATTAAAAATATGAATGATAAGATAGGTAATATACAACAAACAATGATGGAAAATGAACAAAGAATTCAAAAAGTCAAAACAAAAATGGAGCTTGTTGATAGTAAAATAGAAGGGATGATACAGAAATCTGAGCAGACAAATAGGGAGTTGACTGAATCTATTGCTTTTCTGGAAATGAACAAAGCTTCGTTCTTTCTAAGATTTCAAAATATTGTAGAGGAAAAGGAAGAAGAATTGGGAGAAAAGATGGCAGAGATGTTGGCAGAGATTTTAGGCCAAGAAAAACGGAGGTAAGAAGAGACATAGACAAAATATATAGAGTACATACAAATTATGCATGAAGGCATAGATTGGCGAGAGAGGTCCATATAAGATTTACTAGAAGATCAATAAGGGATGAAATATATTAAAAAACTAGAGCTGAACCAATAATATATAAGGGTAAAGAAATAATTGTATTAAAACAAATACCACATAGTATACGAAATCAGAGACGAGAATACCAATTTTTAACGACTCAATTAATTAAATATAAAGTCATGTTTCGTTGGTTAATACCTGAAGGCATACTTTTAACTTGGCAGGAAAAAAAAATACAAGATAGATACACTTGAGAAAGCACAGGACTTTTATGAGTGTTACTTTTCACAAGGAGAAGAACAAGAAAATAGGAAAGAGCCAGAGAGTAAAAGTTACGATGAAGATTTATTAGAGGAAGTTGATCGAGAGCGAGAAATACAAAAGTTACAAGAAAGAGAAAGGTTAGAAAGAGAAGCAAAAGGACAACTTATAGAGACAAGAAGCATAAAAAAAATAAAAAATAGATCAAGTAAAAAATAGGAGTCATAATTAAGCTCTTATCTGTAAACATTAAAGGATTAAATATACCAAGAAAAAGAGTTTAAACGTTTAACAATTTAAGGAAATTGGATGTAGATGTGTTGTATCTTTAGGAAGTTTATATAAAATAGGATTACAGAAAACTACTAGAGAAAGTAAAATTTAGAAATATTATACACAATATTAGCATAAAACAAGAAAGGAGGAATTATTATATATGTCAAAGAAAAAATGAAATCAAATCAATATATTTGGATGAAAAGGGGTGAATTTTAATGTTGGAAATAGTATTAGAGCAAAAACAGTATATGCACTAAATAATAATTAACGTGAATCTTTTTTTAAAAAATAAGGTATAAAAGAAGCTAGTGGATTTGGACTATGAGAATATTTGTATGATCACTAGGCCTAGATAGAATCCCGGTCGAGTCCTATAAAAAATAAGAGAGTTACTACAATGAATAATGTTGGAAATTTAAAATGAGGTGTTGGTAGAGGTGATATGTGTATAATAATGTATAATAATAATAATATGAATTATTCCTAGTAAGTAGTAGAATATGAAGGAAGGAAAACGTAAATATGAAACAATGGGGCAATAAGGACAAATATTTCAAAGAAGAATGAGGGGGGGAAATGTAAATAATAGAAGAGTACTGTTACAAATTGCTGTTAACAAAAAAGGATATATTATGTTTGTATGTGTGTAATGTTTTGCTGTGTTTTGTTTTTTTTGTTGGTCTAAAATAAAAATAAAAAAAAATGTGAAAAAATGAGATATACAAAAATTATCACCATGTCAGTTAATCCTTAGTTGGGTAACCTTTAGCATGAATTATGGCCTTACAATGTCTTCCCATGGAGTGAACCAAGTCCTTTAGTTCTGCAGCTGTTATAATGTGAAACCAAGATTGAATGATTGCTTCTGTTAACTGGGTTTTATTGCTGGGTTGCTTCTGACTAACAAGTTTCTTTAGTCGGCTCCATAGATTTTCAATTGGGTTAAGGTCTGGGCTATTCCCAGGCCATTCCAGCAGTGGAATATGATTATCTTGAAACCACTTTTTGCACACAGCAGCAACATGACATGGAGCTGAATCTTGCTGAAATATAAATGCTTCATTGTCTTGGAAAAGATCATGTGCAGAAGGCTTAAGTTTGGGCTCAAGTTTTCATTAATGTATTTTTGGCCATTTATATTCCCATTAATCACACAAATTCTGCCCACACCTTTTGATGTCATACAACCCCAGATCATAACACTGACTGGGTATTTCACGGTACATGTAATGCAATCAGGATGCAAATCTTCTCCGATTCTTCTTCTTACGTGTTTTATGCCATCACTACCAAACAGGGATATCTTGGTCTCATCACTCCAAATAACACTGTGTCATTGTTCCTCTGTCCAGGTAACATGGGTTTTAGCCCAGTTTAGTCTTTTCAACCTTTGCTTGAGAGATAAAAGTGGCTTTTTTTGTGGAATTCTAGATTTGAGGCCAAATTCCTGCAGTCTGCGCCAAACAGTCCTTGCACTCAATGTCAGACCCAGCGTGATACCTACCTTTTGAAGCTCAGCTACGGTTCCATGTGCTCCAGCCGAGTCCGGTAGCTTCGTGAGTTACATCGCCATCAACGATATGAAGGCGGTGCCAGAACATCTGCAGCGGCGGCCGAACAAGCCATGTGGCCATTTCACGACAGAAAACAGCCAGACGGAAGCTACGCAGCAATAGAATGCGAGAGGAGCCGAATGATTTCAATACTGCTATGACTGGGCGGAGGTCTATCACGAGGCGGTGCTGGGGCGTGGTACGGGTGGAAACTAATTATTTATTTAACCGTTGATTGGGGGTGTGTATTCTGGGTGTGGTGGCGCAATGTATTTAGGGCAATAGATGGAGTATCCTTTCAGTGCTAACTTCGTTTTCATCATAGTGAATAAAAACTTGTTGAATACTGCAACGTTCCTGTTTCCTGGCTTTCGTGGAGCACGGGTAGGATGTTCTGTCACTCAACTTCACATTGCATTGCGCCATTTCATCTTGTATATACCCAGATGATTTTCTTCTGTCACGTAGGCACAGTCTCTTAATTCTTCTATCATCACTTGCTGTTCTGCACCTTTTCCCGCCTTTACCAGTATGATTTTGTAGTGACTGAGTCTCCTTATACCTCTTCAAAAACTTAGAAATGCCACCTTTGGTTAAGTTTCTACCAATTTTCCTTCTAATTTCTTTATAACTGTAGCCTTGTTCACTTAATCATACTATTTTCCATCACTTTCTGAGTGACCAGTCAACTGTTTGCACCATTACTTTAATTTTATTACGTTTTACAAGCTCACTAAATGAAAGAACACAAAAAAAACCCAACCAACTTAATAGCAATCACATAACATACTGACAAATGTCCTCCTCTCAGCTTCAATACATGACACCAATAACTGAATCCTACTGTGATCTGATTGGCTCATTGCCAAAACAAGATGACACCTGATTGGCTCTCTAAACACTAATGCTCATTGGCTACAATCCAATGAAGGAAAGTTACCTGATATCAACTTAAGCAAGTTGTGCTTCCTTTTTCTGGTTATTTGGCTATAACTTTTCATAGAATACAGATAATTGAACAAACCTCATTGCATTACATTCTTGATTAAATTATCTTTCCATTGATATATAATTTTATGGTACTATTCCAAAAAAAGTGGTGTTATTAGCCATCAAACCTCAAATGTACACTTTTCCCAAAAGGTTTCCACAATTTTGGCCACTACTCTAGTATCGGCACACTCAAAAGTGAAACCAAGACTGAAGCTTTCCCCCCACAGGTTACAAAGTTGAACTTCCCAATTCAATGATGTGTCATAATGCACATTCCACAATTAACTACTTGCCCAGGCTTTCTAACTGAAGCCTTAGCCCGCCAAAATGCAATCAACAATGACCTTGTTTCCCATAGAACAATTTATTGTTTTGACTAAGCTAGAAAATACTCATCCCTCCTCCCAAATCTGTAGCAACCAAAAATGAAGGGTAAATCGCTTCAGCCAAATTCATTTGTAGTGTTGAACGTGGTTTCAGATGAAGCCCAGCACGTTCCAAAAGCACAGTCCCAGAATATTAATTATTACCGATCTACCTTTGCGAAGAAAGTTTCCTTTGCTGAAATCGAGGATATCAGGAGTCACGAATGTGTAGTTTGCTCTAGAATCCACTTTCATGTTATCAAATGTAGCTTTATCTACCACATCATCCATCTCTTTTTCAGTTAGTTTTTTTCCTAGGAAGTTGCATATTTTCAGTACAGACCTTCTCAGATCCTGCATTTGATAGAGCCTTATATTAGGTTATCCACAACAATGGAGAAAAGATGGAAAAAGTTTGTTGAGATCTCACATATTATTGCTGTCACTCACTCCCCCAACCTTTAATTCTGTCTTTTCTTACTGAAAAAATTACCCTGATTAAAACATTTGTGTTTATTTTTTTTAATGAAAACTATACATGGATCTAGGAAGCAATATCAATGAATTAAACAAAGAAATGTTGCTTTAAGACTTTTGGAAAATGTTTTCAAAGGCAAGTTTTGAGAAATGTTTTTAATTGACAATATATTGATGTGCCATAATTTCCCTAAGATTCAGACTCTTATGTTCTTAGCAATCCTGGCTGCATCAGAGGCTGGCCAGTTCCCAGGCCAGGCTAAATAATAATAATAAAAAAAATGCCTTGGCCTTTCTTAAAAATGCAGTTGAGTTGAGTCAATCTCTTCTGAGCCAAAACAGGAAAATATTATGAGAGACTTTGACTAAGCTTTGGCTAATTACAGATACTTAGTTGGATTTCCCTTATCTACTAAGTAAATCTATGAAAAATTAGATCAACTTTGTTTGGCCAGACTTGTTTTTACACCATATACATCCTGTTAATTAAATTATCTAGCATGACAAGCCAAGTGCTCACAAACACACCTTTCATTAATCTTTTTGATATCAAGGTGACAGCACTCTAGTTTCCCAGAACTTCCTCCTTCCTTTTGAAAACACAGAAACTTTTCTTCACCACTCCTACAGGAGTTCATGGAAATAACGAAGAGTGGTTCTGTGATCACCTCTGTTACTCTCTATTGGAATAGATTATTCACACTTCATGTTGAGTCCTTGGAGAAAAGCAGACACGAGAAGCAGTTGTAGTTCTCAGGTTTTCTTTTATTCTGTGTTCAGCTTACAGGTGAAGGCTTCAGCAACGCCCAAAAGCTCCCAGCCTCTTATATAGGCAATTCCCGGGTCAATGTGTTACTTTTCCCGCGTCAGCACCCGCGCATGCGCACAGGCGCTGGCAACAGCCTGTCTGGTCCCGGGCAGCTTGCAAATACCCCGAGCCCGTTTGCAAGGCTCGGGACATAACACCCCTTTCCCCTGGGCTAAGACTACTACCAACATACAATTATTTCTTGATGCAATGTTCTACTTCCCAGAGCTCCTACTGTTTACTGGCTTTTGTTTGGCCAGCAATGTTATGTAATCCTCTAAGTATTTAGGAGATTTCCTTGCTCTCTGTGACCTTCTCAGCTCTGGGTTTCTGACAGGTGTTCCCTGACTGAGGGGAGACGTGAGCCTGTTCTCCTTATCATGCCTTGGTGCCTTCCAAGGACTGTGCCCCAATGCCTGGCCTGCTCGCTCGCCCACCGGGCTCGTCAGGCCAGGGCTTCTGTCACTTTGTGACCTGGTTGACCTGCCTAGCTGTAGGCCCTCGGGCCCCTTGAAGTGATAGCCACTGCTGGGCGTCTCTGTAGAACCTCCTAGGTCCGTCCAAGACCTGTCAGGAGGCTGTCCATTCCCTAAACCCCGTTCTGTGTCCGGGCTCGTGTGGATTTCTGTACCTTCCCAAAACTCAGTTACTCCCTGATTTGGGCTAGAGGTGTTGCGGTCGGGACTTGGTTCCTCGACCACCTCCCTGTATGTTTGACCCCCTGTAGGACTTGGGTTAAGGTCAGGCCAGCTCTTGGGATTATGTGCCAGCTCTCTTGCGGGATATGATTTATTGGGATGCTCACGGGTATCCTCCCTGACTGGAGTACTGTGCTGTGCAGGTGAATAGTGATTGTACCCCCTGGTAGTTGGATAGGCTCTTAGAAATCCTGTTTGGGGCACTCGCGGAATCTTGGAATGGGCCGTTTGTGGATCCATCATTGGAGGTGGGCAGCAGCTCGTGCCCCTCCCTTTGCTCTAAAGGGTCCCCCTCCCCTCTGGAAAGGACCCAGGAGTCTCATCTGAAAGATCCCGCCTAGGGCGGAGTTGGTCGATGTGCCGACGCAGGACACGACCGTTGTCCAGGGCTACCTCGTAGGAGAGAGGACCCGTGACCCTGGAAATAGAAGCGGGGACCCATGTATGACCAGGCCCGTAATTGCGAGTCCAAACCGGGGCACCCACAAGTAGTTGTCTAGGTGCCCTAGGATGTGAGGTAGATGAAGGCAGTCTGTCTGGATGCAACCGGTCAAGCTTCGTAGTAAGTTTGCGCCCCCAGCGAAGTTCAGCTGGGCTTCTCCCTGTAGAAGTGGACGGTGTGGTGCGGTAAGAAAGGAGAAAGTCAGCCAACCTGTGATGCCAGTCCCCATAGGTGAGTCTTTTCAAGGCGTCCTTTGTGATGCGGACCATGCGTTCAGCCATACCGTTGGTGGACAGGTGGAAGGGTGCAGACGTGGCATGACGAATCATGTTAGCCTGTAAGAAAGCTTGGAATTCGGAGGAAGTAAATTGAGGGCCGTTGTCAGACACGATGACATCTGGGAGCCCGTGTGCAGCAAAAATCCCCCTCAGTACCTGAATAGTCTTTGCAGTGGTGGTGGATGAGACAGGTACAACCTCAAGCCATTTTGAATGACTGTCAACGAGGACCAAGAAGAACTGGCCCTGAAAGGGCCCAGCGTAGTCAATGTGCACCCTAGACCATGGGGACTGTGTATCCTCCCATCTATGCACAGGAGCTTGGGGCATCTCTGGGCGAGAGCGCTGGCACAGGTGGCATGCATGCACCTTAGCCTCAATGTCCTTATCTAAACCAGGCCACCACAAGTGGCTGCGCGCAAGGGCCTTCATGCGAACAATGCCAGGATGACCCTCGTGGAGGGACTCTAAGATCCTAGTCCTCATTGAGGTGGGAATGACAACTCTGTTTCCCCAAAGCAGACAACCCTGAGAAGTGGACAACTCGTTCCTTTTGGACCAGAAACTCTGAAACTCAGGACTAGGGCAGTGTTCAGGCCATCCAGACAAAACCCAGGGGCAATCTACTGAGGCCATCAGCATGGCCCATTTCTTTCCCAGGCTTGTGGAGTAAGGAAAAATCATATGCAGACAGAAAAATAGACCACCTAAGCATTCTAGGGGAAATGATTTGGGGAGTTTGTTTACATGTGGTAAACAGTCCCAGCAGAGGTTTATGGTCAGTGAAGACCGTGAAATGCCTGCCATACAAGAAATCAAGGAATTTTTTAATTCCAGCAACAACAGCCAGAGCCTCCCTGTCTATCTGAGCATAGTTGCGCTCAGCAGAAGACAGTGTTCTGGAGTAATATGCAACAGGAACCTGAGTTCCATCAGACCTGAGGTGGCTCAGGATGGCTCCTACCCCGTAAGGGGAAGCATCACAAGCGATGCACACAGGAAGGGACTCATTGAAGTGTGCAAGTACACTGTTAGAAGTGAGTAAGGCCTTGACCTCATTGAAACTAGCCTCATGTGTTTGTGACCACTGCCACACTGCTTGTTTGTCTAATAGCCTGTGAAGAGGCTCAGCTACACTAGCTTTATGTGGAAGAAAGGAATTGTAGAAATTCAGGAGGCCCAGAAAGGCCTAAAGTTCGGCCTTAGACTTTGGCCTAGGTGCTTCTAAAATGGCAGTTAGTTTGGATTCAGCAGGGTGAATCCCAGCAGCATCAATTTTGAACCCCAGAAATTCAGTAGAAGGCACCCCAATTTTGCATTTGTCTTTTTTGAGCTTGAGGCCTGTTTTCCTGAATCTTAACAGAACAGCCCTTAGCCTTTCAGCTAGAATGTGTGTGGAGTCTCCTGCAATTAAGACATCATCAAAGTAGGGGCAAACCCCCGGTATGCCCCGTAGTGTGTTTTCCATTACGCTTTGGAAAATCCCAGGAGCGACATTCACTCCAAACTGTAGCCTTTTTACCTTAAAGGCTCCCCTGTGGGTCAAAATAGTCTGAGCTATAGCAGCATCATCATCAACAGGCAGCTGTTGATACGCTTGAGCTAGGTCAAGCTTTGCAAAAACGCGCCCCCCCTTGAGGGAGGCCAGAATATGACTGACCACAGGAACAGGATAGGCATGTTGCTGCAATGCCTTATTAAGAGTGCATTTGTAGTCAGCACAAATGCGAATGTCCCCATTTGCCTTTAGAGGCGTGACAATGGGGGTCTCCCAAGGGCTGGAATCAACAGGTTCTAGAATTCCCTGTTGGATCAGTTTGTCTAACTCAGTGTCAATTTTACTCTTTAAAGCAAAAGGGACCCTTCTTGCTTTAATTCTAATGGGAGTGACAGTGGGGTCTAGTTTTAAGGACACAGGGGGTCCCTTGAATGTGCCCAGCTGGGGGCTGAAGACATCTGCAAATTCTTTGCAGACTTCCTGTAGGTCGAGTGTTTGTAAGCTGTTGAGCCCCGTGACGTGTATCCCCAAGGCTTCAAACCAATCGAGTCCTATGAGACTCGTTCGTTCACCCCCTACTACTAATAGGTCTAGTGGACCTTCAAAATTCTTATACTGTACGTTAAGGGTGGCCTCCCCCTTAACACACACTCTCGAATTTTGAAAGTCTGTTAACACAATGTCAGAAGGCCTTAATTTAGCCTGAGTTCCACTGCCGGAACAAATCTTCCTAAATGTATGTAAGGATATGATTGAAAGGGCAGACCCCGTGTCTAGTTCCATAGTTAATGGAACCCCTTGTAGTTTCACCTTGAGTGACAGCTTTTTCTTGATGGGCTTGTGTGTGCCTGTCCTGAAGATGCTTCTTCGCGAAGCGCAAAAACCTACCCTATTCTGGCTGGGGACCCTGGTACCTTTCAGGCGCAGTTCTTCCTGAGGTTGTACCTTTCGTTGGCCCAGACACACAGCTGCAATATGTCCTTGTTTCCCGCACGCCCGGCAGATAGCGGAGCGGAACTTGCAGTCGGTTCTCCTGTGGCGACCTCCACAGCCGATGCACTTGAGGGGAGCTGCAGAGCTTCCTTTCTGATTCCTTTCCTTCGTGGGGTGGAGACGGTCGACTTCCTCGTCCGGATCCTCCTCGGAGTTTCCTTGGACGTCCTCTTGGTGCACGGATGCAACATCTGGACTGTTCCTGATCGGCCGCATGTTTTTGACGGCGCTGCCTGCTGCTTCTTCTGCGGTGACCTCTCTTAAGGACAAGTCTTCTTTGGCGAAAAGCCTCTGTTGTAGATCTCGATGCCTTAAGCCGCACACGAATCGGTCCCTCAGTCGTTCTTCGAGGTCCTTGAACTCGCAGTGCTTGGCGGCCTTCCTCAATGTGGCGATGTATTCTTTGGCCGACTCTTCGGATCGTTGATCCCTCTGCTCGAAGGTGTGGCGCCATGCGATGACGGACATCTTGGGCTGGAAGTGCTCCTTCAATTGCTTCTTTAGATCTGCGTAGCTGACAGACTCTAATGGGACAGGTGCTGCAAGGTTCTCTGCGATTTCGAAGGCGTCTTGACCGCAGACACAAAGCAGGGTGGCAGCCTTCAAGCTATCTTCCCTCACTTGGTTCACCTTGAGGTAATTTTCCACCCTGGCTACGTAGGACTCCCACCGCTCTGGATGTGAGACGTCGAATGCTGAAAGCCTTCCAACTTTTGCCATTTTCAGGAGACGGGTCTATCAGCCAGCCTACCCCCGAATGCGCACTGGATTGGCAGGTAGCTGCCGAGTCAATGCCGTTCCGCCGCTCAGGACTCACTTGGGTAAGCTTACACCTCTTCCTTTCCAGGCGATGTAAGGCATCCCACCCTCGTCACCAGTGTTGAGTCCTTGGCGAAAAGCAGACACGAGAAGCAGTTGTAGTTCTCAGGTTTTCTTTCATTCTGTGTTCAGCTTACAGGTGAAGGCTTCAGCAATGCCCAAAAGCTCCCAGCCTCTTATATAGGCAATTCCCGGGTCAATGTGTTACTTTTCCCGCGCCAGCACCCGCGCATGCGCACAGGCGCTGGCGACAGCCTGTCTGGTCCCGGGCAGCTTGCACCTGCCCGGGACTGCCTGCAAACGCCCCGAGCCTGTTTGCAAGGCTCGGGACATAACACTTCACATCATTTCTAAAGCTGCTTAATGGTTGTTCATATTGTACTTCACAGCACAAACACATCTTACCTTTTTCATTTCTTCATAAGAAAGGAAGAGAATATTGAAATCACCCTTATGAGCATACCAGCCTTTCTTCAGAAACCTCACCACTCCTACAGGAGTGCACAGAAACAACCAAGAGTGGTTCTATGATCACCTCTGTTACTCCCTATTGGAATAGATTATTCACACTTCACATCATTTCTAAAGCTGTCTGTGCTTAATGGTTGTTCATACTGCATTTCACAGCACAAACACATCTTACCTTTTTCATTTCTTCATAAGAAAGGAAGAGAATATTGAAATCACCCTTATGAGCATACCAGCCTTCTACATGGTCTAGCCACGAACTACAAAGCACTGGTAGGAGAGAAAGTAATTTAGTGTAAACATGAGGGCAGTCTTGAAATCACTGAGTTCAGTTGTTCAGCTCAGGGCTGCAATGATCCAGCTGACCATCTGTCTCAGGGATACATTCTTAATACTTCAATTTCCTCCATTTATCCTCATTTATCTTTATGATCCTAATGGGCCTACAAATAAAAGCATGATAGCTCAACTAAGGGCTATCCTAATATCACTGAATGTGGAGAGGAGAGAGAAGGAATGGGAGCCATAGCTAATATGGTTGCGTACTCCAACTTGTTAATTAAAGCAATCTACTTTAATTTTTGTTATACTTCTTCAAATATCAGACTTATTCCGATTAGCTATTTCTGTTTCCAACTCCTAAAACACTTTGTATGTGATTCTTTAACTTAGAGTTACCTAACTTTTCTGGTTTTGTCTCCAACTGGCAGGGGAGGAGAAGGGATGGATCTGTGTGAGCAGCCAGCAAGCATGACCATGCATGCAGCTCCATTTGCACAAGTGGTGTGCAGGCATTCCTGCTGCTTGCAAAACAGGGTAGGCACACATGTGTGTGCTTGCCTGCCATTTCCATGGCCAAATTGCAAATAATTCATAACCCACTAATGGGCCATGGCCTAGATGTTGGGGACCCCTGTTTTAATTAATATTCATTTTTAAAAAAACTTTATATTTTATTCATCCATTCCAACCCATTCATATCCTGATTTTAAACCACCAAATAGTTTCCTTCCATTTTCTCCTCTATATTAAATATATCTTAGTATTACTCATCTCTCTCCTGTAATAAGCTCCCTTCAGTTGCCTCTCCTACCCATTTTTACTTCATGAGTTGTCCTCAGCGTCCTGCATTCTTCTTCACTCATCCATCCCATTATAAACTGTTTTCATAGAGTTTACACAAATTACTGCTTGAGTATGGAGAATCATTATTTGTTACTTATGTTAGGAAAGTGGGTGGATTGTTTGTTCTTTGTGGGAAGCAGATGGAAATATATTCATAATCTCTTATCTAAAACAAAACTGACATAATGTTGTCATGATGAAGGACTTCTTACCTTTTCCAGCCAAAAACTTCTCAAAGAAAGTACTGAAGTCTTTTGGGGTTTCTAATTTGACTAAGACTTTGTGAAAATGATAGCTAGAAACCAAGATATCCTTTGGATTTCTAAGCACATAAATAATCTGTAACAGAAAGATGATAATAACTAGTCAAAAAAACAAGAAAAAAGACAGATTGACAGCAAAGCCTACATACAGTGCATCAAATATTTCTCATACACTCATCTAACAGGCTCCATTATATCATGGGATCTCAAAGCTTATTAGCAAAACCATGTTTGAGGAACTTCCAGCAGGCCAACAGGATTGGGGCCAGCATCTTGAATCCTGAACCAAAGTGGTAGCCACTGCAGTTTCCAAAGCAGAGGTGTCATGTATGAAGTTCTTAGAGATCACACAAGTGCTCATGCTGCTGCATTTTGCACCAGCTGAAACCTTTGGTGACTAGGGCATGAGTGGCTGACAGAAGGGATTGTGGGAAGGGTTTTGAGGGCTAGAGATAGCATTCCTCAACTTGACAGTGTTCAGATATGTTAAGATAGCAAATGGCCATGCAACACAAAGTGTTGCAATCCATCTGGAAAAATAAGCTTAAGCTGGTCGATATTCAATTCGGTTCTTAGCTATTTCTCCAGGGCATGATATTCTGATGTTAACACGATTTTGTTTGTGTTTATTTTCATCACCCTTCAAAACTTATTAGTGTCCACCAAATATATTGGAACAATGTAATATGTGTTTGTGTGCCATTTGCCTATTTGTTAATAAAACATTCAGATACAGAGCTAATAGAACAGAAGACAGACAGTTCCCCACATCACCTCACAAGTTAGCAAAATATGTCTTACTTTTGCTCTTCTACTTCGTAATCCTTTGGGTACCAAATAGTAGGGCAGATGGGAACTAAAGAGACGAGGTGATGGGCGACTGGGAAAATCTACATGCAAAATTTTATACTCCAGCCATGGTGCTCTTTCATTCAGGGTAATATTTTCAGTTCCATCTCGATGACCTTCATGAAAAATCAGGCTCACAATATTCTGAGTCCATATTGTGCCTGCAAATAAGGAATAATTAAATTAATTCATCCATTATTATTTGGGGAACTTTGAGCTTATGCCAAGCCAACCTTCCTATCAGGAGAAATAGGAAACATTTCAGAGATGCCTGAACACAATGAAGTGTTCTAAAATTGATAGATTAAAGTGATGGATGGATGAGAAAAACTAGCTATTTATTTGCACATTTATTTCTATCCTGCTTTTATTAGTTTTGGAAGTAATGGCAAGCATACCTAATAATCCTTCCTCATCCTATTTTCCTCACAATTATCCTGAGTGGGCAGAGGCAGTGTGACTGGCCAAGGTCACCCATCTAGCAATGTATGGGTAAAATAAAAATGATGAAAGTACAGGTTTAGCAGCTTTATTTCTCCTACGTTTTCAGCTTCTTATAAAATGCTAAATGTTGAGGCTTCCAGTTTGCTGATGTGGCTGCTGTAGCCACTGGAAGGCGAGCTCCGTCTTCCACGTCCGATTTTGCACCGCTGGGGGCCCTGGAAAGGGTCAAAAGTGGCTCTGTAGGGGTAAGCAAGGAGGGGATCTTCCGCTCGATCCGGGGCAGCCTCCACACTGGAGGATGAAAAACCGGCCATAGAAATATGGCCCGTCACTAGGCTGCAGACAGCCAAATTGAAACTTATTACCAGGCAATAATAATAATAATAATAATAATAATAATAATAATAATAATAATAATAATGGAAAACTGCAAGAGAAGGAAGACCAACCTGAATGTGGCATGGATTGACTACAAAAAGGCATTTGACTCTCTGCCACATGATTGGATAATAAAGTGCCTAGAAATAACAGGAGTCAGTAGAAACATCAGAAAATTTGTGCAAAGATCGATGGCACAATGGAAGACACAGTTGCAGATCAATGGTGAGAGGCTGGGAGAGGTTAATATCAAGAGAGGAATATTTCAAGGAGATTCATTATCACCATTACTATTTGTTATTGCACTGTTTCCTCTGTCAACAATACTGAATAACTCAGGACATGGCTATCAAACATCAAAAACATCTGCCAGACTATCCCACCTCCTTTACATGGATGATCTGAAGCTGTATGGAAAAACATCATCTGAAATAGAATCGCTGCTCAACACTGTCCGTATATATAGCCAAGATATTGTAATGGAGTTTGGCTTGGACAAATGTGCCACACTTACTATCAAACAAGGAAAAATAGTGAAAACTGAAGGAATCAAGATGCCCCACGAAAATAACATTAAGAGTCTGGATGAGGAAGAGTACTACAAATACTTGGGTATCCTTCAAGCTGACAACATCAAGCACACTGAAGTCAAGAAAAAGATTAGAGGTGAATACATCAAGAGAGTGAAGAAGATCTTAAATCCAAACTCAATGGAGGAAATACCATAAAGGCAATCAACACCTGGGCAATCCCAGTCATTAGGTACACAGCTGGAATAGTGGACTGGACTCAAGCAGAACTAAAAGCAATGGATAGGCAGACCAGAAAAATAATGACAATGAATCATGCCCTTCATCCACGCAGTGACATTGATAGACTTTATCTACCAAGGCAAATAGGTGGGCGTGGAATGCTACAAGTACATCAGATGGTTGAAGAAGAAAAAATGGCTTTGGAAGAATATCTGAAGAACAATGATGAAGATGCACTGAAATTAGTATATCAGGAAGGCTTACTAACTACTGGAGAGACCAAACTGGCCTACAAGAAAGACCAAATGAAGAACAGAATAGAGGCATGGGAAGACAAAGCACTACATGGCCAATACATTAAAAAAATAGCTGGGAAAGCAGATAATAATAAAACCTGGCAATGGCTAAGAGCAGGAAAATTGAAGAAAGAGACCGAGGGACTAATTCTGGCTGCACAAGACCAAGCCTTAAGGACAAATGCATACAAAGTCAAAATTGAGAAGACAGCAACAGACAGTAAGTGCCGCCTATGCAAAGAAGCTGAAGAAACAGTGGACCACTTGGTAAGCTGTTGCAAGAAGATTGCACAAACTGATTACAAGCAGCGGCATGACAAAGTAGCAACAATGGTGCATTGGAAGATCTGCAAAAAATATCATTTGCCTGTAAGCAAAAACTGGTGGGATCATAAAATAGAGAAAGTCATAGAAAATGATAAAATTAAACTGCTCTGGGACTTCAGAATTCAAACAGACAAGCACCTGCAACATAACACCCCAGACTTAACAATTGTCGATAAGAAAGACAAAAAAGTCTGGATAGTGGACGTGGCAGTGCCTGGAGATAGCAGAATAGAAGAGAAAGAACTGGAGAAGATAACAAAATACAAAGACCTACAAATAGAAATAGAAAGACTGTGGCAAAAGCAAGCAAGGGTAGTACCAATAGTCATAGGCTCCTTGGGTGCAATCCCAAAACAACTGGAGCACCACTTGAACACCATTGGCATTGACAAATTCGCTATTAGTCAATTGCAAAAGGCGGCCTTATTAGGAACTGCTTCCATCCTGCGACGATATCTGTAATACCATCAAACATCCACATCTGCCTATCCCAGGTCCTGGGTAAGGACTCGATAGGTAGACAAAATGCCAAATCCAGTCTGAACATCTGGCTGACTGTGCGATGATCGATAATAATAATAATAATAATAATAATAATAATAATAATAATAATAATAATAATAATAATGTTGGAAGGAACCTTGGAGGTCATCTAGTCCAACCCCCTGCTCAGGCAGAAAACTCTATACCATTTCAGACATTATTTTGTTGTTTAAATGATAGCCACTAGAGCAGGAAAAATACACCTTTTAAGCTGGTAGATATATTTAGAATTGTGATAGCAAATCATTGCTTGCCCCCCTCCAAATTCCTGAACAAGACAAACCTATAATTACATTACATTATATATTTGTCTGCTCAAAAACTGGCCACCATAATAGACATATCCATTCACAAACCAATACCAATGAGGTACTGTACCTCCTAAACTAAGTTTCACAAAGCACAAATACTTAGTACTCATACTCAGTTAAATCAAAATCAAACTAATCATTTTATGGTCAGCATCATGTACAAACTCGTTCATGGATTTCACATGGCTTCTTTAATAAAGCAGAGTTTCTTGGCATAAAATCCGTTCATTCTGATTATTTCCTGTGACCTTATAAAGCAGCACGGATGAGACTGGGTGAGATCTGAACCTCTCTTCAATCCTAACTATTTTTTCTACCAGTAGAAGCTGCCCGAAGTATTTTCCCCATAGTGGAGAGAGGGAAGGGGAATTCTATCCCACCCTCTAAAAACAGGGGCGACTGACTATCCAGGGGAGTTTAAAATGCTGAAAGAATAACCTGATTCTAACTGGATTTTTATCTTTCTCAAATTTGAGGACTAAAAGATTTCTTATTCTTATTGAAGATTTGGGTTTTTACTTACAAAAAAGAAGTAAAATTGGAAAAAGGATTATAAAAATTTTGGACTTAAAAAAAAATCTTAAACGGTATGGGCGACATCTTGTGGCTAAACCTGATATTACAACTTAATGTCTAAAAGAGACTTGGCTTGAAGTCCAGACTATACATAAGACTTTTGCAAGCTTGGCAGATATCAGCTGTGAGAAGCCCAGCTGTGTTCTATCCTCAGTGACAAAATTATTTTCATTCTCTGATTGTAAAGCTTTTAATTTAACACACCACTAAGAGAACATGGATGAAGATCAGGAACAGATTCTCTTTATGCTGAAAGCAATTTATGAAACTATTCTGACAGCTACTGATAAAATAAGAAGCTACAGAAAAGAACAAGATGTCAGCCTAGATATATGAAAACAAACTTTGATTACAACTAAAGAATCAACTACACAGAATATAATGGAAGAAGTGGAACAATCAAATACTATGATAGAAGATTCAACTCATCAACAAGCACAATTAGCAGAAAACCCAGAAAAGGGACTGACAACATTGGAAATGGAAAGGACTTTCTATATAAACCAGAAGAAACCTGAGGATCAAGAAGAAGAACAGACTGAAGGGAACATAAACATAGTACAACTATGTCAAGATGGAAAAATAGAGAGACAATTTGTTAGCTCTTTGAAAAAAAAATGGTGACTGGATGGCCTCGTTTATCTCAAACAAGATATATAATAAAAGAGGGAGATCTATTTGATGACTTAAAAGCATGGATATGGAAGGCAAGTTGGCAAAGAAAGAAAGCTAGAATAAGGCTGAAGAAAATTGGGGTTTTGACTTATTAGTGAGGATTAAAATAGAATATACTCAAATAGACAAGATGTGTACTTTGAATACTAGATTTTGTTATGAACTGAGATAAAGAAAACTGCCATACTTCAAAAGTACCTCAGAAACCAGACTACTATATTACAAACACATGTCATCATAGTAGATTGATAGATAACCTTTATTGTCATTTTTTACTGTGGGCACAATGGCGCACATTAAAAATGAAATTTAGTTGTTTGCTCTCAAAGTGTACACATACATAATGAACATTTAAACACACTATATACAACATATGTACAGACCTACACCCTTATATATAAGTAACTTAAATATTAATCACTGTCCATCTTTAATACGTAACAGAAGGAGGAAGCTTTAGAGTTCACAAGGTTAATAATGTATGAAACTAAAAATTGGGAAAAACTAATTAGGGCATTGATTGTCTATAAAGACTGAATGTTAAAATAACCAGGATATGTATAAGCTAAAATTTATTGATAAATGTAAGAATGTTATTTTTATTTAATTGATATAATAAGAATTATATTAGTTTAAACATGAGACAGTAAATACTAAGGGGAAAAGAAAGGAAATATTTATTGTGGTAGTTTGAGACTTGTACTAAAGATACTTGAATTATCGATTAACTCAGCCACGACGTTGCTTTTTAAATACTTAAATTTAAAATTAGAAAATCAATAAAACATAAATAAAATAAAATGCTAAATGTTAAAATTTGGTTATAGCACAACACAGTTACAGCAACCAAAATCCTGAGGAACTGAATAACAGCACTGGATACAAGATTATCTCTTTCTTGGAAGACATCTTTGAACTTACCAGATTTAGGATATGTGATTATGAATATATCATCATCTCGGATTTCCAAACTGTCCAGTAAATCTATACCTTTGGGTGAAGACATGCCATTTATGAAATAGATTCCTTTGTATTTATATAGGAAATCGTCCTCTGGCTCCATTACTTTGGCTGTTGATAATAATATAGCGATTAACAGTACTTCCTACATTTATGGTCAATATTAATTTAGTTCTTTAAAAATCATAACTCCTGCTAACATAAAGAAAAACAATGTATATATTATTAGATTAGTTTCCCTAATTAATTAATTAGTTTCATGAACTCAATTTTCATCCACAAAAGTTTCCATTACAAACAATAAATTTGATGTTCTTCTTGGAGTTCTGTGTAGAAGAGAAAGCCTTAATTACACTATGAACAACATACTAGTTGCAATTCTTTTCTTACCTTGCCTTACCTAGTCCCCAACTGTCACTCATGTCATGTCCTTTAGCCAACTTACATTCCTGCAGAGTGCTCAAATATTTAAGAAGGCGGATCTTTAGTCAATCATTGTGTAAGCAGTGCTTCTGTATTCCAAAAATGAGCAAGAGAGGACATAGAACACGATTGAGTAATAACCTAATTAACAAGACTATCTTATCTCAGGCAACTTTATCAAAACATGTCTAACCGTTCAATCCAATATAGCACAATCAACACACGCTGTGGCAAGGCTAACACTGCCATACTTCAAAAGTACCTCAGAAACCAGACTACTATATTATAAACACATGTCATCATACTAGATAGATAACCTTTATTGTCATTTTTTTTACTGTGGGCACAATGGCACACATTAAAAATGAAATTTAATTGTTTGCTCTCAAAGTGTACATATACATAACAAACATTTAAACATACTATATACAACTATATACAACACCCTTACATATAAGTACATATACATATAACATAAATATTAATCACTATCCATCTTTAATGCATAACAGAAGGAGGAAGCTTTAGAATTCACTAGGTTAATACTGTATAGAAGAAAACCATGACTGAATCTGGATGTTCTGCTTCGGATACCATGAGCCTCCTCCCAGAAGGTAAGAAGGAAAACAGGTTGTGAAGAGGATGTATACTGCAGTGTTTCTCCACAGCATTGCTGGCTGTGGAATTCTGGGAGTTGAAGTCCTCATGCCTTAAAATTGTTAAAGTTGAGAAACACTTTTGTATAGTGTCCTAGACAATCTTGCAGACTCTCCTCAAGCAACACCTACTGTATGTGCTATGTCCTGGATGGAAGGGAGGGAACTGCCAATAATCTTTTCTGCCATCCTCACCACTCTCTGCACTGCCTTCCTTTCTGAATCAGTAATGCTTCCAAACCAGACTGTGATGTTGCATGTAGCACACAAACCATCTAAACTCTAAAATGATACATTTTTGTTCCACAAATAATGAGCATCGATAAAATAGACACTAGTTATTTGCCAGAATTTTGGAGTGAAGAATTGAAATTCTTATACTCTTCCTGAGATCATGGAGTAAAAGGATGGAGGGTTCATGGCTCCTATCTCAAAGGCCTTCTGCCTCTTCTCACCCTGGCCTTACCTCCTGCTTTGAGAGAGCAGTGTAAGGGTCAACAGCTACCCGAAGAACTTGAGGTTCCAAGAAGACAAATCAGGAGACTCAAGCGGAGGCTTCCAAGGTAAACAGCACTTTAATTGATCAAGTGAAGTTGCAGTGTGGACCACTGTCCGAAACATTGTCAGCTGTGTTTAGAAGTGCCACACCTTGGTCAGTCAGGCATTTCCTTATTTAGGCAGCAACAGCCAATCACAGAGTTACACATGTCAGTAAAACATAGTATCAGCCAATCACATTTTATTCTTTTCCCGCTCTTTTCCTTGTCTTTTGGGTCTGTGTACATGTTCTTCCTATTTTGGGAGCTGCTGTTCTAAGAGATTCTGTGCCTGTCTTTCTTTTTTCACCCAGCCAATGGATTGAAAGAAGAGGCTCTTGCACACTTCTGCTTGCGTGGATATAAAGTGAAAAAGGGAAACAATTTGTATAGCACCATCTTCAGATTGTAAAACATTGAGGCATGTGACAGGAGCAATCAACTTTAATTTCTTCCCACCCCATTCTGGGAGCAAAAGCAATCTCTCAAGAGACAATGAAGTAAAATTTCATAGAAAGAAAGAAGAAAGAAAGAAAAAGAAAGAAAGAAAGAAAGAAAGAGAAAGAAAGAAAGAAAGAAAGAAAGAAAGGGTTAAAAACTTCAACTATTAGCATGCAAACTCATTCAGTGGTGAAGGAAATAAATACAGCCTCATTTTTTTTCAAAAAGCATTTTCAGCAGCTTGATTTATTGGTGAGATTTATCCTTACCTCAGCACTTAAAAGACTCTAGGTCAGGGGCCGGCAACCTGAAATGGTGAAAGAGCCACTTGGATCCGTTTCCCTCACAAAAGAAAAAACTAGGAGCCGCAAAATGCACGCATGCGCACACAAACATAATGGGGCTTGATTAAAGAGTGGAGCCTAAGGCAACACATGCACTGGCCCTGTCCCTGTCCAGCTCCCCCTCCCCAGGCCGAATGTTGCTGCAGTTGAGAAACGCTGATCCAGACTGATTTAATACCTGCTGGGAACGTGCACTTTCAACTCTGCTTTGGTAGAACGAATGTCTCAATACCTCTACTCTGGGTTCACCCGGGCAGGAGAAGTGTCCCCTCCCTTCCAGCTCAATTTATCAAACCAGGGCAGAAACAGGAACAGGGCTGGTCCCATCCCAGGTCGTGGCTAACCAAAGGGTGTCGCAGACGCAAACGCCTCTCGTTTGCTACTTGCAGAACAAGATGCCGGATTGTCAGCATTGCTGTGAGACCACCCCCTGCAATGCCAGCTAATGCGGTGTGCTTCTCTTTGCAAACAAATGCGAAATGTTTCTGGGTTTCACTCGCCCGCCTGCCCAAGTGGAGACCCTGCGCCGCCTCTTCTCCTGTGGCCAGGGAAAGAGGGCCGGCCCCAAGCCTGTCCTGGAAAACTTTTTAGGCCCCAAATATCCCCACACCCCCTTCCCCGACAGCCCAGGCACTATGGATCCACAACAGGAGGGAACCTTCCGGACCTTCGGTACTCCCGGCAGTGGTGGCGGTGGCGAGTGGATGGTGAAGGGCCATGGCTGCCTGGTTGCTGCCGCCTCCTCTCCGGCCTTGTTCAGCGTGACCGGCAGCGGCGGCAGCAACAGCAGGAGGATGGTGAAGGGGCACGGCTGCCCAGGCCAAGGAAGGCGCCACCGATGGAGACAAGATGGGGCTGGTGGCAGAGAGCCCAGTGGCAGCGGTGGCAGCGGGAAGACAGCGAAGAGCTGCAGCTGCCTGGGCTGAGGTGTGTAAGGGCAGTGGAGAGTCCCACAGCAGCGGAAGGAAAGCGAAATGGCGTGGCCGCCCACGCCAAAGTAGGGCAAGGTGGTGGACAGCCCCATGGCAGCGGGAAGATGGTGAAGGAGCGTGTGCCACCCGGGCCGAAGTGGGACAGGATGACGGAGAGCACCGTGGCAATGGGAGGATGGCGAAGGGCTGCAGCCACCTGGGCCAAGGTGGGGCAGGGTGGTGGAGGATGGCAAAGGGCCATGGCTGCGGTAGCAGGAGGCAGCAGGAGGATGGCAAAGGGCCATGGCTGCTCAGGCTGAGCTCTGTGGACAGGGAGCCGCAGGAGATGGCTGAAAGAGCCGCATGCGGCTCCGGAGCAGCAGGTTGCTGACCCGTGCTCTAGGTCATTTGCGGATATTAATGCTTAATAAATAATAAATAAACATAAAGCATACTAAATAAAGCAATGCAAAATAATAACAAATTACCAGACCATTGAAGGCAATATTGGGGTTAATGAAGCCACTCAGTCCGCTAAGCTTTCTGGAAGAGAAACTGAGAGTTCCTGCCTCTAAGCTGTTGTGAATATTTGCACTTTTCTTGCAAGCAGGAAACCTACATTCACAGCTGTATTTCCAAACTTCATCATCTTTAAGATGTGTTGATGCAGAGATTTCAGTTCCCAGAATGCCCAGCCAGCATGGCTATTGCTACTAATTCTAGGAGTTGAATTCCATGCATTGTCCTATTGCACATATATCCTTCTTGATCAAGGTACTTGAAAAGGTTGTAGTAAACTGTTTCCCACTCATTGCAACTTTAAGACATGTGGACTTCAACTCCTAGAATTCCACAGCCAACATTCTGAAAAAGAGGAGGTTGCTGTAGGCCATATTACTTAAGGTTGCTCCATAAAGTAGAGAGCAATACTAAGAACAAAAGTGCACGCCACAAGTATATATTCATAAAAATGCAGAACTATATTGTAACAGCTTCAATCACACATATGTATTACAATTGTATCATACATTTCTGCTCAGTTTCTTCCTGGAAAAATTCTGGCAGATTCCTACACAGGAAGGTTGTATTTTTTTTATTATCCCAATATAAATAAGACCAAAAATATATCTTTGTTTAAAACAGTTTACCTCGGCATCTTAATTAAATCTATTCACCCCCCACTTTTTTTTAATCACAATCACCATACATAGGAATTTCCTCCCAATAGACAGCCACAGTTTGCTTCATTTGTTCTGAGTTTCAAGCAAACAATTAGGGCCTGGTCATTCTATCATGTGGAGGAGGGCTTTTGAACCCTGAATCTTACTGCTGGTTAAGACCCTCTACTCAAATACTATTTGAAAGTGTGCATGAGTATAAATGGTTCTCTAAATCAGAGCATGCTTACTCATAAAGGTATTAGACAGGGTTGCTTTTTAATCTCTATGTCAAAAATAATCCAAGATTCCTGTATAGTTCAGACATCATATATCCAAGATCTGTGGTAAACATATAAATATTCTTTTAAAGGCTGATGATGTGGCTCTAATAGTGCCTCGTCAGTTTGGTCTGAGAAAGGGGAGAGGGGAGCGTGGAGATGTCAGATGAGAGAAACAAAAAATTTGGGCTAAGGTAGCAGATTGTAGTAGGCTCAGTGTTGTTTTGGCATCAGTTAAGGACAGGGGTTTGCCAGTTCTATTTAATGTGATGACATTCACAAATAAAACAGCCTTAATAATGTAAAGCCAGAACACCCTTAAATATTGGGGATTTTTATAATATCTTTACGAAGTTTGAACATCATATATTAAAATAGAAAGCAACCTAAAAGAGAAAAGGAATGACCAAACATTTAGGTGCCCTAAAGGGAAAAAATACATTTAACAAATATAACAAAGGTGACCTCCAACTTTCTTTTAGTTCAGCGATAGTAACAATACAACTTGACTCTAAGTTTAAGAAATAACACCAATCTGTAAACTATCTTAAAACACTGGTAGTCAACTTACTATAAGCTAGTATTCAGAAAATGTTCTCTTAATTTCCTTTAAAATATAGTAAGGTATCAAATGAAAATAATCTTATATTTGAAAAACTACAATCTTTCTCTAGTCAAATTGAAACGAATCTTCAAAACCCCAAAGTCAAGCGATGATTCTTCTCTTTACTCTGTAAGAAGCTTATCAATGGTTGGAGGGAGCACTGGGCTAGGTGACAAAAGAGGCTTTCAAAATTTACATTCAGTGTCTTGGTGAGAGGCACCTCAAGCGACTGCCAAAAATCATCTGCAGCCTTTCCAGGTGGCTTTTCTTGAGCAGAGTCAATGGGGGAAGAGTCAATAGCTCCACTTGGCAACCGCAGCAAAAAAGGTGGTAAAATTGGAGAGGTAACTCATTTAACAACCACTTTGTTTAGCGATGGAAGTTCCATCCCAATTGTGGTTGTAAGTTGAGAACTATCTGTAGCCATAATTATGTCTCCCCTTTCAATTGTAATGACAGGAGCAATCAATCCCTGCTAAGATTTCCTTTTTCATGCATTGTGAACATTGTTAAGCTTATCTAATAATGGAGTAGTCCAAAATGTAATCAGCCATATAGCTCAGGATTAAGATATAAATAAGTGCTTTGTCATTTTTTTCAAGCATATACAACTGAAACCTCCTTGCTGTGCTTTATTTTATTTTTCGTCAAGCTGGAAATGGACTCAGTTCATCATCAATATCACAGCAATATTTGAAGGGGGTTTTGTATTCCTTAAAAGGATTTCACTCAAGGCAACCATCGGGTTGTATTTCAAAATTCCTAAGGTGTATTTGTTACAGGGAGCAGAGAGAAAGTGCAGGTAGCAATGAGCAAAAGAACATTTCTTATTTATTTTAGAAAGGACTGGGGCAGCAAGAGGTGAAGTGTGCATCATGACATCACAATGCAAATTGTGTGATTTAGGTCCTCGGGTTCCAAATGCAAAGATGTGACGACAGTGTTCACATCATCACTACAGGTAATCCTCGTTTAGCAACTGCAATTAGGACCCACAACTTGGGGGTTAAGAGAAGCAGTTGTTAAGTGAAGCATCACAATGTAACAATCTTACTTTAGTTTTCCTTTGCTTTACAAAGGACATTAACGTGAGGATTGGTTGCAAAGTTACTTTTTCAGCACTGTTGCAACTGTCTACGGTTGGAGTCTACATCTGAGTGGAAGGAGAGAGTGATACTCATGTCTCAGTGCTGTACCTTTATTGGGCCAATTAATAATGGAATAGTCCAAAATGTAATCAGCCATATAGCTCAGGATTAAGATATCAGCACTGTGCAGGAATTGTTCTAAATAAGTGCTTTGCCATTTTTTTCAAGCAAGTACAACTGAAACCTCCTTGCTGTGCTTCATTTTATTTTATTTTGTTTTATTTCCAGCAAGCTGAAAATGGATTCATGATGAATATCACAGCAAAATTTGAAGGGGGTTTTGCTACTCCTTAAAAATATTTCACTCAATGCGACCATCAGGGTGCATTTCTTAATTCCCAAGTAGTAATTGTTACAGGGAGCAGTGAGAAAAGAACATTTCTTCTAGAAAGAACATTTTAGAAAAGACTGGGACAGCAAGAGATGAAGTGTGCATGTTCACATCATCACCTCAAGACAGATGGTCAGCTGGATCATTGCAGCCCTGAGCTGAACAACTGAACTCAGTGATTTCAAGACTGCCCTCATGTTTATACTAAATTAATTTCTCTCCTACCAGTGTTTTGTAGTTCGTGGCTAGACCATGTAGAAGGCTGGTATGCTCATAAGGGTGATTTCAATATTCTCTTCCTTTCTTATGAAGAAATGAAAAAGGTAAGATGTGTTTGTGCTGTGAAGTACAATATGAACAACCATTAAGCATCTTTAGAAATGATGTGAAGTGTGAATAATCTATTCCAATAGAGAGTAACAGAGGTGATCACAGAACCACTCTTGTTTATTTCCATGAACTCCTGTAGGAGTGGTGAGGTTTCTAAAGAAAAGTTTCTGTCTTTTCAAAAGGAAGGAGGAAGTTCTGGGAAACTAGAGCGCTGTCACCTTGATATCAAAAAGATTAATGAAAGGTGTGTTTGTGAGCACTTGGCTTGTCATGCTAGATAATTTAATTAACAGGATGTATATGGTGTAAAAACAAGTCTGGCCAAACAAAGTTGATCTAATTTGTCATAGATTTACTTAGTAGATAAGGGAAATCCAATTAACACATCCAATTGTTGTACTTATTTCCAACTCCAACAACGAGCAAAGGCACGCAGGCCTCCTTTTATACGTCCCAATTCCCCAGACAAGATGGCAACATTACTAGGCACTTTTCGTGCCTTGCGCATGCGCACTCGGCCGGCGCCACTCAGTCTGGTCCCGGGCAGTTTTTGCAATTGCCCGGGAACCTTGCAATGTCTCGAGTCTGCATTTGCAGGCTTAGGACGCAACACAGGAGATATGCCTTTTCTGGTTCAGTGTCTTCTCCACCCTATCCACAGAGTGCTAAGATTTGTAGGGCCATGGGTCTGTTAGCCTTCAAAAAGAAAAAAGAAAAAAAAAGCCTTAAAAATGTGATTTTTCCCGTAGGAGTTGGGCTAAGATGATATATCAAGCAACATATATCTTCACGGAGGCGGAAAGTATAATAAATAGGTCTGGCTGTTGTAGCTATATCAGCTTTGGATTTTTTTGTTGATATTATATTTTTTTTATTTGCTATGTTGTCTTTGTGGGGTTTTATTTCATATATAACACCCAGAGTCAGTCAGTAATGGAAATATAAATCAATAAGCAAATGCCTACAATATTTAATAATACCATAGAATTTGATGTTGCTCTGTTCTATGATCTCTGCAGAGTTGAGACTTAAGCATTACAAGGTTACAGAAAGACTGTTCTTGGAAGGTCATCTCTGATCCAAGCCATTTGAAGTTGTGCATCACACATTATTTTCCTCCACTGAGCTGGAAATAGGCTCAAGATCTTCCTGAATATCCCAGCAGAACCTGAAGGGCAGCTTTTCCATCCTCTCCTTAAAGACACGGTCAAACTTTTCACTCTGGGCAACAGTCATGGTGTTCTTCCAGTCCCCAACAGTACCTGGGAAATAACAATTAAAAAAATGTCAACAGTTTTTGTATTCAATTAAACTAGAAGCTATTTATGCCATCCTGTCACCAAACCGTTCATTCTTACACATTCTTATGTGACTAAGTTTGTGTTTGAATCAGTCATGTGAAAAAGAAAGTACATCCTGTTTGACTTCTATGGTTTTATCTATGAGGAGATAGTAAAAATCTGATTCTTAGCTGTTCTTAAAAGTAAGTAAATGCAAACTTAGATGAACAACATGACATTACACTATGTCATCATTTATTTTACACAAAAAAAGCCAAAATGGAGAAGCCGTGCATGAAAAATTTATGATTTAATAGCTTGTAGAATCACCTTTAGCCGCAATGACTTGAAGTAATCGTTTTCTGTGTCACTTAATCAGTCTCTCACATTGCTGTGGAGGAATTTTGGCTCATTCTTCTTTACAACTTTGCTTCAGTTGATTGAAGTTTGTGAGCATTTGTTTATGTACAGCTTTCCTGAAGTCCCACCACACCAGTGGTTCTCAAACTGTGGGTCGGGACCCCATTTGGGGTCGAACAACCATTTCACGGGGGTCACCAAACAAGGCTGTCCGCCATTTCCCCCCCTTTTCTTTGCCATGCCCCTGGCACCCGGTGATGTATAAGTGGTTAGGGGTCACCACAACATGGGGAACTGTATTATGGGGTCGTGGCATTAGAAAGGTTGAGAACCACTGCACCACACCATTTCAATCGGGTTGAGATCTGGACTTTGGGCCATTGCAACACCTTGAGTCTTTTCTTTTTCAGCCATTCTATTGTAGATTTGCTGGTGTGTTTGGGATCATTGTCCTGTTGCGTAGCCCAATGTTGGCCAGCCTTTGTGAATGATCTTCTTCATCATAGAATGATGTATTTTAAATTGTTTGCAAATAACCTTTCCCAGACTGATAGGCAACAACAATGAGTTGTCTAAGATTATTACTGATGTCCTTCCCTCAATGCTGGAGACCAGCAAACTCCTAAAACTTTGGGTTTTATAGACCACTGGATTAAGGTCATTTGATAGCAGCACTTAGCTGCTACTTAGCTTCTTCATACCCATAGAAACAGTAGGGATGTTCTTAGTTTCTTCCCCACATGGCTTCTCCATTTTGGCTTTCTTTTTGTAAAATAAATGATGACATAGTGTAATATGTCATGTGCTGTTGTTCAGCTGACTATGTATATACCTAATTTAAAGAACTGCTAAGAACCAGATGATATTTACTATGTCCTGATACGTAAAACCTATAACTCAAAGAGGGCATGCTTTCTTTTTAACATGACTGAATATAAAACATTTCAGGACTTCAGAAAGGGACTATACAAATGAAGATAAAAACTCTTCCAGATGTGGTTTCCACTCTCCAATTACCTTGCCCACTATGGGCTTCTCTGAGTCTGAGAAAGAGGATAATAGTTTGCAAAACCTGACTAACTTGGAACATTGCACATTTGTCCATTATCAGATCAATGTTTAGCCACCTCTATGTCCATCAAACTGTTCTTAGAATTCTGTATTTATAGTTTTTGGGCAGGAAGTTGTCCCTTATTATTTTAATTAGAGCTGGATTACAGAGTGAAGACTTAATAGAAGGGCAAAGATCTCTGTAACTAGAAGGTGTTGAATGATTCTCCTGCCATAAGTATCTTTTACTGGGAAGTCGTGGAACCAATGATCTGCCAGTGAGGTTCTAAATGATCTTGAATTCACCCTTTTGGAACTGGCCCCCTGATTAAGTGAAATGATTCATGGTTCTTTGAGCTTTGGTGATGTCCCTATAGGCTTAAAAGAGACTGGAGGACAGTGCCCAGGATAGAGAGTGAAGAGGTTGTGTCTTCTCCATCTTAAAAGTGGCCACTGTGAGCTAGAACAATCCTACTTCCAAAGGATCGTTAGCCTATGCAACCAACATAATGATCATTGAAAACATCAGATTATATCCATGCCCAAAATTTATCAGAGTGAAAAGAAGAACACCACTTCAACATTGGCACAGCTAAGAAAGGCTTATGGCTGCTTCAAATGCAGGCTGCTGATGAGACAAACACAACATCATGGAGAGACAGCAAAAAGAGAGGTTGTTGGGACATGTCCATACCACTTTAGAAAGTGCCTTTCAAGTGAAGGTAGTAATCCTGGTTTCATGGCTGCGATAGATGAGACCAGTAAAAAGAGCTCCAAGGCAAAAAAGATTTCCTTAAAGAACATATTTATTTTGGAGTAGTACCATAAAATTATATATCAATGGAAAGATAATTTAATCAAGAATGTAATGCAATAACTTTTATGAAGGATTTGCTATTAGAATAGCAGTTATAAAGAAGAAAAGTGAAACACGTAGAAAAAACGTGATATAGGGACTTCTGGCTGTGATGTCATCATCGAGCGGGTGAAGGAACAGATCTCTGTTCCTAAGTCCTGGGAAAATCTTCGCCAAGAGCCCAGCAAGGGCTTTGCTGATCCCGGAGAGATCGGTAAATTAAAGAGGAAGCTTCAGAGAACCCGGGTGGAAAGCAAACACCCGAGCAGAATGAAGCAGCACTCTTAAAATTGGTGGAGAAGAAACCAGTCTTTAAGGCTGGCCTGGAGCGATAACGGCAGCCTGAGAGGGAGTGAAAAATTGAACTGACAGCTTTGTAACAGGAGACGAGGAAACCCCTGAAGGAGGTGAGGATCATTTGGCTGAGAGAAGGCACAGGAAAAGTAAAGCTATAAGGAGAGAAATACAGTGGCAACTGAATTGAAACAGAGCGGAGAAGGGAGCAAATAGAGCAGAACGAGAACAGCGTGAAGAATGCTGAGAGCCCACAGCAAAGTTTACAAAATGTGAGAGACTGGAATTTAAGAACTGCAAGAAGTTGTGAATGAAATCAAAGAAAGGACTGGTGAAAGGACGGTTGGAGGCAATGAAAGGTGATTAAGAAGGACTTTGAGAAATTAACATAAGGATTAAAAGGTGAAGGGAGACAACGGAGAAATTTAGTTTATTTTTGAAGAACAAATAACATTGAAATTTGGACTTTAGTTGACATATATCTGGACAAAGTGACGAGTGGATGTTTTGGAAATATTGGATACAGAGAAGAAGAAATAAGAGGTGATAGTTGGTGAATTGGTGGACATATTAAATTGAGATTGAGGGAAAAAAGGCTGATGCAATAGTCACTCATATACAAGCAGTGATTAAGCTACAAGTAAAAAAGTGGTCTCAGGCAAATGTATTAAAAGTAATGAAGTAAATGAATTGTATTAATGAAATAGAAATAAGTGTAACTGAGTAATTGAACTAAATAGAAGTGGAAAAGTAATCATAGCATAGTAAAGAAATAAAAACAGGCGACTATTCAAATAAGAGTGATAGTGAATGAAATTAAGAGTGGTGACAGTACTTAGAGAATAGTATATGTATATGTAGAGTGGCAGTCATCGCTCGGAAGTCCTTGAGTCCTTGTGGGATTCCTGCGCCGGAGGTTGTTGGGTGTGAGTCCCTCCTATTGAAGTTGGGTTCATGGGTTCAGTTGGGCTTGTTGCTGACGTACCTACCTCCCAGCTGCGTTGCAACAGCCCTGCCTGCATTGCTGGAGTCAGTAGCCGGGTTGGCGGTGGAGTTCCCCAGACTTATAGTACTGGGGGACTTTAACCTGCCATCACTCGGCGATCGCTCAGAGGCAGCGCAGGAGTTCATGGCTTCCATGGCAACCATGGACCTGACCCAGGTAATTCAGGATACAACTCATAGGGGTGGTCACATACTCGACCTTGTGTTTCTCTTGGGGCAATGGAGACATGATCTGGAATTAAGGGGAATAGAGATCTCGCCCTTGTCATGGACAGATCATTTCCTATTGAGGCTGGACTTCAGAGCATCACTCCCCCATCGCAGGGAGAGGGAGCCGACTAGGTGGTTCCGCCCCAGGCGCCTAATGGACCCAGATCGGTTCCAGGAGGAGCTTGGGGAAATACCTGACTCCCTTGTTTACAACTCGTCCGGATCCCTGGTTGCGGCCTGGAATGAGGCGGCGTCCGGGGCCCTGGATCAAATTGCGCCTTTGCGACCTCTCTGTGGTGGTGGTCCCCAGAGGGCCCCTTGGTTTACTGAGGAGCTCCGGGAGATGAAGCGCCACAAGAGACGTCTAGAGCGACGTTGGAGGGCCAGTAACTCTGAATCTGACCGATCACTAGGGCAGTGCCAGCCGAGTTGCCAGGGGCTGGTCTTAGTCATGTTATCTGGAGTGAGTTTGAGCCTGTGACCCTTGATGAAGTGGACAAGGTCGTGAGGGCAATGAATGCCGCCATCTGTTTATTGGACCCTTGCCCCTCCTGGCTGGTTTCTGCCAGTAGGGAGGTGACACGAGGCTGGCTCCAGGCGATAATCAACGCCTCCTTGATGGAGGGGTCTTTCCCGCAACCTTTAAAGGAAGCGTTGGTGAGGCCCCTTCTCAAGAAGCCTTCCCTGGACCCAGCTGTTTTGAAGAACTTTCATCTCATCTCCAACCTCCCCTTTGTGGGGAAGGTTGTAGAGAAGGTGGTGGTGTCTCAACTCTTGCGATCCTTGGAGGAAACCAATTATCTGGACCCTTTTCAATCTGGTTTCAGGCCCGGCTACAGCACTGAGACTGCTTTGGTCGCACTGACCGATGACCTCTGGCGAGCCCGGGATAGGGGTTATTCCTCTATCCTGGTGCTTCTTGACCTCTCAGCAGCTTTCGATACCATCGACCATGGTATCCTTCTGCGTCGTCTTGGAGAGGTGGGGGTATTGCGGTGGTTCTCCTCCTACCTCTCTAACAGGTCGCAGTCGGTGTTGGCGGGCGGACAGAGATCGACCCCTAGGCGCCTCGATTATGGGGTGCCTCAGGGCTCGGTCCTGTCCCCCCTCCTTTTTAACATCTACATGAAACCGCTGGGTGAGATCATTCGGCGACACGGGGTGAGGTATCATCAGTACGCGGATGATACCCAATTGTATATCTCCA